CAAACTAAACAGCTCAAGTATCTTGTGTTTTGCTAATTGTGTGAAAATGATATTATTGTACATTGGGTGTTTTAATGACAATCCACCGAAGCTTAATAGGACATTTCAGCTCTTTTCCTGGTTAGATGGTTTGCTGTCTGATAGTGCCTGGTCTGTTTGAAATAAAGTTCTTTTCCACTTGGTCATGTGTCATTGTAGAGTTAATCTTATCCAACATCAGAGAGAGTTATGACACACTGATAAATATATTTTGTAATATACTACTGGCTTGTCGTGTCTCTGTTGACCTGCGCCTGAGTCTCTGAGCTGATCCACGACAGCTTCTCATCTGCTCCAACCCTCAAGACCCATGATACGTCAACTCTTTGTTTCATTCTCATGGGATGCTTTTTGGGGATCTGCCGGCCCGGGAGCCATTGCTGATCCCTGACTAAGCATTTCCCCACACTACATCAACTCATCTAGGTCATCACAAACAACGCTCATTTGCATCCAACAAATAATCAAGCTTCAGTTTGATGGTGTGGTCCTAGCTAGTGATTTTGAACACTCATGTCACGGCTTGGTTTTAGACAGAAAACACAACAGACGTCTAGGTTGTGGCAACTCAGTTGTCATGACAAAATTTTTAACAGCCTACATGGATAGTTGATATTCAAAGGTTGGTGCAGACCAACTTGGCCTGAATTTTCATTTCAACTATTCACCTATGAAGGTTAGAAAATCAGATCACTGGTGTTGATCTGCAAAATCTTGATCGTTGTGAGATCAGCATTACGTAAGTGTGTTCACATTAAAGCAAGCTGCATTCTCAATTTATTTCGTTTGTTAATTCTCCATTATGCTCTTTTTTTTCTCTCAGTCAGCAATGCTGTCACTACGCACCTGGAGGGAATAAAAAGTCCAAGCAAGGTGAATCTAAAACCGTTTTTTGACAGGGGACATGGAACATATTTGTCTTTCAGGCAAGACTAGACGATACACCAAGATATAATATAATATAATATAATATAATATAATATAATATAATATAATATAATATAATATAATATAATATAATATAATATACAATATCTTATCATATCACATCGTATAATGCGGGTTCTCTATTTTTGTAGACATTCGTGGATCTTGTGTGATGCTGCACATTTGGAATAAATTAACAGGAAGTGGTCCTCAGCAGCTCACCTGTCTGATGTAAAGAGAAGTAGGCCTACACTGTGTGATTTGCCATCAGATCCTGGCCCAGACTGATCTATTTTCTATGCTCTTTCTGGGATGATTTAAGATCATAAGAATTGAATAAATTTATGGCACTGTTGCTCCACTTGCACAAATGCACACAGCTGTCTGAGTAAACAATCAAAACATAAGAAGCAGCACAGTGTGCAAGATGAGGGCATTTAGTGACTGATCTGTTCTGCATGCTAGAAGAAAAAAGAAACACAATATGAAACCAGAAACTGGAAGGTAAGAAAAGTCGAAATATTTGTGTTGTCAATGATTATCCCCACAGTGGCCGGGGCAGGAACAAGTCCTTCCTCTGTGAAATTGTGGCAAACAAGCTGAATGGAATTGATGTGGACAAGTTGACAACTTTGTCAGGTGGATTTTGCTGCCATGGGTTTGGCAGTTGTGTGTATTTTAATATAATCATATTGTCATTACTAGAAATTGCTGATAGAAAAACACAATCGTATTGTCACTTCAGTTGTCAGTTGTTGACCTGACCATCCCAAGCCTAATGTAATACAAGCATATGAAGACCTGACTGCATACCTTGGTTTCACCCACAAACTTGTACAGGTCTCGAGAGATGATCCTCTCCAGAATCTTGCCAGCTTCCTTCAGCTCTGGAGAAGGCGACCAGGGGTGGAGTATTCTCTCAAACACCTGATCTACAGGGCAGGTAGAAAAATAAAGTAGAAGAACCGGAAAAAGGGTCACAAATCCATCAGCAGTGTTTCACAAATAAATAAACTGATAAGCCTTACTATCAAAATCAAACAATATATGAAATGACTTGTACTTGATGAGTTTATTATTAGATGTGACAAAGATCATTTATGTTCACAATTGTAAGAATTCCAGCAGTTCTGATCAAAGTATGCATACTTATCACTCATTAACACTTCCTCATTTAATGATACCGATGACAGTCTGACAGAACAAGTCACATATATTTATGGATAATTTAGCATGTTTTAAGAGTGCATCTATGATAGGACCAGGCAGGGGTGGCACAAGCCATCTCACCGATTTCAATGAAACTTGGCCAGTTTGAAGGGGTCCACTCAAACTATTTTAGGCTAAGTTTAAGGAAATTTGCTCAAGGGGCTGTTAAACAGTACTAACTACATTTTCCTCCGTAGTACACGTTTTTATAGTTCTTCTTTTCATGATGTCATTGTTTTGTCATGTTGAGACATTCAGCATTTTAACGCTCAGTGCTGTTGTAGGATTATTCTGGCTTCCTGCACCACATCTACTCTGTCTGCTGTGTAGCCTGTATGAAGTTATATCATCACACAGATTAAACCCAGGACACAACATTCTAAATGTCTTTGTCCAGTTCTAGGACTAGGCCTAATTGATGTTTATTTATATTTGCAAAATAATATGAAAAGATTCAATTTGACCAACTGTTCTATCTTTAATTGAAGATGCACATAACAATTCAATAGAGCCATCCCCATATTGAGGAAGTGCACCACATGCTGGGACAACTACCACTGCCCATCCTGTTGCTCAGCTTTGTTCCACCCGATGAAGTTGATATTTATACATGTTTGTGTTGCTGCAGTTCTAAAGGCTAAATAGATAGCATGCCTTTCATGGTGCTACTTGTGTATGTAGCTGTCTTACATGGCTGCTCTGCTGGAAAATGGTATATTTAAATTATATTGTTTCAAAATTAACCCTTTTCTTTTGGTAGGCCATCACATATGTCCTGTCTGTCCAGGAAGATGTGTCCTTCCAGGAGGCTGAGCAGGTCTACTGCTGTGGTCGGTTGGCCATCAACGGTCAGGGTAACAGATGTACTATTTACATTCACACAATGCCCTACAACCTTTTTATAATTATTTACTAATAGTAGTGTTATTACCCATATTAAGGAGCACCAGTGCTGATGAATGCACCTTTCTAAGTGTTCCTAATGTTTCTGTAAAGCCAGCAGTGATAATGTTGTCTGTCTACTAATTCATTGAAGTGGAGGAATCTTGCAGAGGGCTGGACAAAGAGTTGAAGACAGAGGGGAGATGATTCAGTCAGTAGGTGGTGCTCCCTTCAGAACTGGGCTTATCGGCATGAAATGTTCAAAATAAAATATGTTTTGCCAAAGTATGAAGATATATCAGTGTTATATTGACGTGTGTGTTAATGTCTGTCTCTGTGTCTCAGGAGATAGTGACATCACAGACTCTGTGGTAGTAGTCAAAAGACCAGTTTACTTCTGTTTTGTTTTTGTGTGTGTTTGTGTTGTTGCTTTTATTTTTTATTAAATGTTTTTGTGTAGAATAAATAAACATATAATTCTGCCTTCAGAGTTGTCCGTGTGTTTCATGTCTTTTCAACCTGTCAAACTGTCCTGTTTGACATCTACAGACCACAGAGGCCACAGGAGCAGAGTTCATCATTATTTTACCTGTTCATAAGTAAGTTAATTACACCATTTGCCCAAATGCAAGTCTCAGCAACCAAGTTATGATCATTGTAATAAGAAGTATTTTGGCTGAAATAAACTTTTCAAACCTCAACTTGTTGGTTAAAAAGCACTATTTGGATGGAAACAAAACTTTAAAATTATAGGTACTTGGACATGAAGTAGTACTTTGTGTGGAATCTTTTAAATTATGAATATATTTTGAGAGAAATCCTCCTTTAGAACTAAAAAAAACCCTGAGAGTGCAGCCTCCAGGTCTGCAGACACATACTACTGCTTGTCCCTCTGGCTTGTTGCACTGAAAAGTAGAGGTAATACAAAAAGTGTTCCACTAGATGGAGCCAAAGACAGAGGTCATGTCAGAAACACATGATATAAAATGCAAGTAAAGAGAGATTCAGTTTGTTCACAAGATGGTCACACATTTTCAGAAACTATTTAATATGCAATAATAATAATAACACATCACTTTTTTCTGACCCAGGACTTTTCAGCAGAAATTAAGTTCCTGGAGAACTGGGAGACTGAAAATTTTATATAAGTGATTGTATTTTTACAAAATGATTAACAGCCACAGCCAGACATGTCAAATTTAAGCATCCATTCATGCTCTACATAATCAACATATCCATATACATCTGCAATATCAGGAAGTGACAGTTTAGTAATCCCTGAAATCCATTGTTTAAACAGTGCCTAATAATCTTTACACACTTCAATGTCAGCTTGCTTTGCATCTATTGCACCTATAAATACTTTAGTATACCAAACAGCCACAAGATGACACCATTGTTTAATTCTTTGAGCTCAGGTTTCTTTCCTGCAGCTGATCCAATGAAACACATTCTGCCTCATCATGTGTTAAAATGAGTATTACAATGTATTTTCTCATCATTTTTATGCTGAATCTTAATGGTAATTTCAACATAAGTATAAGGAAGACACATGTGTTTTTAATTTGATGAAGTTGTTCCACATTATTAGGCTGTGCATCTAAAAGTATCTGAGGAAATAAAACTATTAGCAGATGATTGATTTCACTTTAACGTCACAACCCTTTCTTGAAATGGTCATTACTTTTGAAATTGTTTTTTTTTTGTTAAAGCAACAGAGTATGAGAAGGTAAACTGTTTGAGAGGTTATCATGGAATTTAATTATTATTGTAGTTCATTTGTTAAGGTGAAATAAATTCTATTGATTATTCAAGACAAAATTTTTGGCAGAAGAAAATCATACAAAACATAAATATGCATCAGTGTCTTCCAACATAGACCTACAGTGCTGTGAAAAACTATTTGCCCCCTACAGATATCTTTTATTTTTGCACCTTTGTTACACTTGAATGTTTCAGATCAGACAAATTTTAATATAGTTTTAAAATGATTTCATGTACTGAGAAAAAATGCTGTCCAGCTCTACCCTGCCCTATGTGAAAACAAAGTCATTGACATTTATCAGTCTGGAAAGGGTTACAAAGAATTGCTACGGCTCGGGGACTCCAGCAAACCACAGTGAGAACCATTATCCACAAAGGGAGAAAACATGGAACAGTGGTGAACCTTCCCAGGAGTGGCCAGCTGACCAAAATTTCTCCAAGAGCGCGTTGACATCTCATCCAAGAGGTCACATAAGAACTGTAGGTCTCCCTGGCCTCAGTTAAGGTCAGTGTACATGATTCCACAATAAGGAAGACACTGGGTTAAAATGGATCCATGCGGATGCTGCAAGGACCAACCACTCCTGACCAAAAACATAGACTCGTCTGACATTTGCAAAAATATATGTAGATGAGCCCCAAGACTTTTGTCCTGTAGATAAATGAGTCAAAGGTGAAATTTCTTCAAAGACATGGGTCCTGTTACATTTGCTGTAAAACTAATACTATAAGAACATCATACTGACAGAGAAAGGTGGTGGTGTGATGTTTTGCTTCTACAGGACCTAGACGACCTTGTCATAATTGATGGAGCCATGAAGTCTGCTTTCTGTCAGAAAAATCCTCCAGAGGCCTGTACTATGAACCAGGATTTGGGGTTAGTGAGGTAACTTCAGGTTAAATCCTGGGTTTTCAGTCCTACGACCGTGGTTTACTTCTTACATCACCCTGGTAACTTACGCTGAACAGCTGACCTGCTCTGCAGCAGGTTAAGTTAGAGATTGAGATCACTGGGTATAAAAGCACAGCCCACTGAAAATCAGTTCTCTCCCATAAAACTTCAGAAGGAGCAGAAAACGAAGCAGTTCTCAACAAAATGGCATCACCGGCATTAATAGAAGACCTCTGAGCGTGAATTGTGAGGGATCACTGAGGAGTGTGAGGGTTTTTCGGGACCAGCAAAGCCCCTTAGCACATTCTGATGAGGATCTCTATGAGCTCCTGTCTTCCGTCCTTCCTTCTTTTCCTGTTGGTGACAGGCAATGTCAAAGCTATTGCACATTTTTTTCCATACCAATATCAGCCCACCACAGTAAGCTGATTTTAGCATTAAAGCTTGTATTTGTAGGATACGTTCATAAGGCTATACTGCTTTGAATTATGTTTTTATGTTTGTTCTTAATATGTTCCCACGTCCTTTTTACACCGCCAGGGTGGCAGCTGAAAATAAAAAAAAAAAAAGTTCAGATATGCCACAAGTCTATACATCAGGCAACAAATTAATGAAAAGAATCCTCAGATGTGCTTATTGTCTGATTCGTGCCTCCATGATGGAACAGTGATCATATTTTATTATTATTATTATTTTTATTATGTTATAAACTCATGAACTTATGCATTCACACAGTCAGCAGTTTTCTGCCAGCATTCCTTCCTGGCTTTGGTCGCTGCAACGGTGCTGCTTTTTGCTCCTATGAGGTTTTTAAATTCTGCTCCTCGGTGGTAGTGTGAGCTGCTTTGTAGCCAGACATGTCCATAGTCGCGATTGGTCAGATGCCGATAGTGCCACTCATTTTATGTACACATGCTCATACTCAGATTAGACAAACCTGGGTTGACAACCACCGTCTTAGGACCGGTTATCTTGAGTGTGGCTGTTAGGGTTAGTCAAGCCGGATCTCTGAAAGATATCCTATGTACGTTGATTCGTAGTACAGGCCCCAGGAGAACATCTGCCTATCAGTTCATGACCTAAAGCTCAAGCTCCAAAGGGTTCTGCAACATGACGCAAAGTACACAAGAAAATTCACCTTTCAATGGCTTAAAAAAGAACAAAATTAAGGTTTTGTTATAGGTACTGGAACTCACATGCAACAAAGCATTTTGCAACAAAAACAAAAGGTTATTTACAAAATCAAACAATATAGAGGAAACTGAAGTCTCAGGGAATAAACACAATACAGAAAACTAGAGGGACCTCTGCTGATTTGACAGAGCAATATCAAAAACAAGGTTACAACTACATCAAGAACTAGAGATCTCTGTTGGTCTGGCGAGGAAAGCACAACTAGGGAAATCTGGCAGTACAACAAGAACAGACAACAACCCTGCCTTAACCCACACTTGGTACTTTCAACCAAGGAAGATCCAAAGCTGGCCGGTAAACACTAAAGGTACAAATACTAGGACCCAGCAGAGGAGCAGGGAACTAAACTGGCAACAGGCAAAAGGAACGGGGAAGGGGAGATGAGCAGAGCAGGCATGAAGGAATTGATGTTTGGCAGGTGCAGCCACGGAAGAATCCAAGGTGGAGACCCAGAGTGTCTTTGCAGGTGGAATCGGACTCAGAGATGAAACCAGTTGCAGGCGGTGATCGGAGACAGGTGGAATCCGGAGTGAGCTGAGCAGCAGAGAGGTGTCACTGGATAGAGACTGTCAGAGACTGAGGCCAGGGCTTACTAACTCATGAGTGGTCAACAGTCCAGCATCAAGTGATGGTTTAAGTCTAGCTTATATTGCAGATACAGAATGAATCCCAGGCGCACCACTCCCCGCTCCCGTGCTCACTCAGGTAGTTATCCAATGGCTGCACCAGTCTGGCCCTCACGTGCACGCCACACTTAGGCCCACCTAGGAGAAGGAAAGGGGGAAGGAGGGAAACAGGGAAAGGACAGGCAGGCACTATACAGAGCCAGAGGTGGAGGCCTTGGAAGGTTTTGGAGTGGCCAAGTCAAGTCTGGACTTCAATCCAGTGCAGATGCTGAGACAAGATCTTAAAGGTGCAGTTCATGCTTGAAAATCAGCTAACGTTCAAATGAAATCTATTCTGCAGAGGAGAATGTTCCAAAATTCCTCCATGGCGATGTGAGACTGATCACAAGCCATCGCAAACATTTGACTGCAGTTGTTGCTGCCAAGTGTGGCCTAACCAGTTATTAGGTTTAGGGGGGCAATTACTTTTTCAAAGGAGTAATATAGGTTTTCAATAAATCAGCATTTAAAAACTGCATTTTCTGAGTTATTTTGGTCTAATATTGAATAAATAAAATATTAGTTAGCTGATCTGGAACACTTTGGTGTAAGAAATATGCAAACACTGAAGACATGAAGAAGGTAACAAATGCTTTTTCACAGCACTGTATTTATGCAAATCCATGTGCACATGCTGTACAAATACTAACATAAAGCTCATATAAATTTGAAACATCCACACACAACACACAGGTACTGACAACACTCCAAACAAGTACTTTCCACAAACCTGTCTTTCTGTCTTATACTGTATTTTTATTCCTCATTTAATGTTTATTCATTGTAGACCCAGTATGGTGTCCTTTAAATGAAATATTGTGATTTTAGCAGCACACACATTTCACACAAATATTTTTACACCCATGGAATTTGATTAAGGGACTTTATATCGGGCACTGTTGATGGCGGATTGGACTACTTCTTCCAATATTGCTTTCAGTGTGCTCTGAAAAACAAATTTAAGGACTAATAGCCACAGCATGCGGGTAATGAAGGATTTCTCCATAGTAATGCTACTGTTCCCTAAGTGCCTAAGCCCCAGCAAGCAAACTAGCAAAGTCTGACTGCTTTTGTTCACTCAAAGGTACTTTTCTCCACACGTGAGGGAACAGAAAGAAAAGCCTCTTGGCCTACAAGTCTTAGCTGTGAACCCCTTCCACTCGTTTGCATTAGGAGTTACTGCAGATATTTGAAATACCTTAACATCTGTAAAGTTCTTGGTCATTATGTCCATTTTGCTTGTGGACATGTCAGAGTGACTTACAGGAGGCTCACAAACAACTTAAATGCTTTACTATTATCCTCTCTGACTATCGAAGTCTTCATTATTGAAATTAAAATTATTGCTTTAGAGGATTTTTTTTTGTGCAATATTTGAATTAAAAGCAGTTAATTGAATTAAAGGCATAACCATTTGAGAAGTTTGATAGCAAAAATTCTCTTGGTGGAACTGCTCACAACTCAAAGTCATGTGATGTGTCCAAAGTAGGTGACTTTTTGTAAGAGTGCAAGATAAAAAAAAATAAACAAACTGAAACAACTGTGCAATTGTTCAACATTTAAGATTCATTAACTCAACGTGTACGGTATATGCAGCCATGTGTAAGCACATCCCATTAAAACTATTGACCTTTTCAGCATATTGGGACAAGTGACATCTTTCTAGAATATGGACGGACAAATAGTCTCATGGCTGCAAGTGTCAAAGTCCCTTGGGACCACAGATCACAATTGGTACCTAAAAGTTTGTGAATTGTGTCTTCAAATAGGAAATCGATATATTGTGTGAAAAAAAACAAATCAACGGTGAGTTAATTGGTGATTGGGATGTTTGGCTAAGTTAAACATTGTTATCCAAATTGTCTCCAAGTAGAGTTATTCCTTTCCAACTTTCAAAAAACAAAAATCTTTGTAATCTGAGTTTTGTGTGAATCTTCACATGCATATCTGGTAAAAATATTTAAAGCAAAAAGAGCTTCAAATACGGAGAAAATGGTAACAGACTTCCTGCAAATGGAGAAGTCATTTGTAAACATGTATGCCCAACATAAATGTAAATAAAAAGACCAGGATTTTCAAAAGATTTATGACCTCAATTATCAATTTTTTATTTACTGCACCTCAGTGAAGAATTAGTTTATTCATTGAGATCATCTTCTGTCTTCCTCTCAACTCATATAAAGTTGGTTATTGTATTATTGTATAGGGTGTTACTGGAGCAAGATTAAGTATGCACTTTTTGTCAGGTACGGTTAATCAAGTCCTACTGAATATTAGAAACACTCAGCAGATGCAGCTCATTCAGTTTCTTGAATTTCCAGCCATTATCTATACACTGCTTAGTAGGGTCGAGGGGGGCTGGAGTCTATCCCAGCTGACTTAGGGCGAAGGCAGGAGACACCCTGGACAGGTCGCCAGTCTATTGCAGGGCTACACAGAGACAGACAACCAAGCACACTCACATTCACACCTACGGACAATTTAGAATCACCAATTAACCTCAGCATGTTTTTGGAGAGAACCTAGAGAAAACCCGGAGAGAACCCACGCTGCACAGGGAGAACATGCAAATTCCACACAGAAAGATCCTGGGTGTCCTAAGCGGGACACGAACCGGGAATCTTCTAGCTGTGAGGTGATGGTGCTGACCACCGAGCCCCTTCTTGAATTTCCTTTTTTTCCTAAAAAAATGCATTTTTCATCCAAGTTGATACAGAGTCTTTGAAGATAATTCTTTATTTCCTTTTCACTATTCTACGACACCTGAACAGCTCACTGCGTCACCTTGAGTTGCTTTCTCAACATCCCATCTGTTAAACATTACTACGGTAAAACAGAATATGTCTCATCACGTAGCCTAACACCAAATTCTGCAGCCTGCATCACATTTACTCATTTTCATCACAGCTATGGAGTCAGTGTAAATAATAGGCAATAAATGCTGTTTTGAAAACTGCATTGTTAAAAGCTTCCAGGCCTCTCTTTCAGGTGTATTTCCAACCTTTTAGTACCTTATGCGCCATTGTGCTCTTTGAGGTCTTCTGTCTGTTCCTGGAGGCCCGGATAAAAACTAAAGAGGACAGAATGTTTGCTTTTAAGGCCCCTAAGCTCTGGAACAACCCTACCGAAGAAATCAGGTCAGCTGAATTAGTGATCTCCTTTAAATCTCTTCTTAAGACACAGTTTTATGGGAAAGCCCTTCTTGATTTTACTTGATGTTTTATTTACATTGAAGCTTATTTTATTTCTTTCAAGAATTTTTTGGTTTCTAACCTCTTTAACACTGTGGAGGTTTAATACTTCTTGTTGTGCTGTTTAAATTCTGCTGCCCTTCTCTTTTATATTGAAGAACCGTGTAGCCTAGATTGTCAAAAGTGCCATTAAATAAAGATTAATATTATTTTAACAGACTTCTTCACTTCCAAACAAGGTGGTGAGTTCTGCCTTGTTTCATTCTGGCAGCTTTTCTGGAAATAAGAACCACATAGTGTCTTATAAATTTGCAAAGGATTTTAAAAGCCAAAGACATTATAGAATGGTTTCAGGCTGTAGATTAAAACCTGATACTTAAATACAACTTAAAGCATGAAAATCCTTTAGACCTGAAGCTATGAGGTTTTTGTTTGACAGCGACGATGGACTCTGTCTATTAGATAGAGGTGAAGATGCAAAGCACAAGGACTTTGTTTCATGAAGTATTTAGTAGACGCCAGTAAAGGAAACAAAAGGAAAAGCATGCATGTGTCACGCTCAGTGGCCCATAAGTTTTTTTTTATTTGTATTTTTTTTTTTTAAATAAATTTGTAGTTTTGCACTTCTTCAGTTTATTCAAAGTGATAAGAAAGAAAAACTTAACAAGAAGTAAATTCATTAAGTCTTTGACTAAACCGTTATCTAACCTCGCTGTCTGACTGTTTTCCTTTTGCAAAAGCTTTTTGTTTTTAACCAGTATCAAAGCAGTCAGTAGGGACAATGCAGCTCTGTGTTTATGGAGACACAAGAGTTTGAAAGTGAACTAAATGGACAGTTGTTTGTCTTCATCTTGACGCTTTTTGTGTTCTCTCACCAGAAACAAGTAGAAAGACTTTAAATGCACATAATTTATTTTTTTCTGGCCAAAAAAGTATGAAATAGTTGAACACAACAGAATTATGTTCTCACAGTATGAAAATGACAGATTTAAAATTGCATACATCTACTGCATACATCACCGTAAACGTCCACAGCAGCATTGGTGGTAAAAAAGCAATGTGATCCATCTGCTGTTCACACTGTGTGTGTTGGTGCAAAAGAGCAAACAGTACAACACTGTGTAGTATAAATACACTTCATGACAAGACACTTTGCTTCAGCTTCCCCTATTAAGCATTCATACATAGGTGAAATATAAACACTTAATGCACGGTTTACAACCAGCTGTAATATACTTGTACGCAGACCCAAGTGTTTTTTAAAGTACTGTTTTTGTCAACAACTATAGCCTCTCTAGCGGGCAACAGCGTACACCCATTACCCACAGAAGGGCATGTAAAAAGATAATAAATGAAAACACAGTAAAACATAACGAGACAATATGTCTTCATGGGAGAAGTTATATTTGTTGACAAATACCAGATATGAATACTTAACACTTCAAATGTCACAAAGGGTCAGTTTAGCAGAATTCATACTCACATTAGAGCCTGCTACAGATTGGTTTCCACCAAAACGTGACACACATTTTCACAGAATTTCCAGAAAGTCCTAAAAAGTAAAAGCTAATTAATACACAATGCCATGGTGTAAATATGTGGAGTGGAGCACATCAAGAGAAATGAATGATGATGCCAGTTTTCAAGCTGGGTGCCATTAAACCGCTGCAGAAGAAGAGGGTGCAAGAAGATGACATCATCAAAAGAACACTTGTCTTCACTGTGACAAACAGTCCAGAAACACTGTTGAAATATTTAGATTTGTTTTATGTACTATTTTTGTTTTTCATGTGGTCACTTTAGATGTATAGTATATCATATTTGGCATTGCCACTCAGACTCAGCAGAACACACGTGTCTTCTGACTTACTGTATTTGTATTTCAAAGATGGTACTTTATCACTTTGGCAGACTGTAGCATTCAGACACAGTTTTCCATGGTCCATCTGGTCAGATCTACAAAGAGTATCTGTTGTGCATGAGACAAGGCTGGAGTCCACTAAACAGACAGTTCTGCCACAATTAGGCCTGCAAACTGACCTCTGTGGGTATCACTTGTTATTCTCTGCATTTGCTTGCAACTTAAATACAGTTAAACTTTCAACACAGTTTAATTTATCATTCAATATTGGAGAATGTGCCAAGAAATGGTGCTTTACATTGACAGTGCAGTGCTCTGAGCGATCAGTGTACTTGAGATGCAACCTTTCCAGAGTTGGTTAAGTCTTTTCAAGACAGCAGGCAGTAATTATCACAAAAAAAAGTGAATGGAAGAACTGGCATTAAACCCAACTTTTCACCCCGCTGATGTCCTGGTCATTGCTGTGCCTCATATAAGCATATTCTTCTCTCCTTCCCCGTCCTCACCAGCCCCGTCTTCCTCTGATCTCAGCTGCTCCAGGTCGTCCTCGGAGCTGCAGGCGCTGTGCTGCATGCCGCGGGAGAAAATCCTGCGACGTGACTGGGCGCTGAGGTCCAGCAGATCGAAGGAATCGGAGGAGAAGAGGCTGTCCTCGCTCACCACACTGGAGGGGCGGCTGCGGCGGCCCTCTGCATCCCCTGTGGCCCTGAGGAGCTGCTGCAGCGCCTCGGGGAATATCGCAGGGCCTGAGGAGGGACATGAGTGGAGGCTGTCGGGAAGATCCAGACTGCGAGAGAACTTGCCGTTACGTTTGAGAATACCCTTCCGTCTTCTTACTGCCTCTGTGCGCATTGTGGGGCTTTCTTCTGCTGCCGGGAGACATGTGTGCTGTTTGTGTGAGCGCGACTCACCAACATCACTCTGTTTATCTCCTACTTCGGAGCTTCTTCTTTCTGAGGATGAACCATAACCAGACTCCCCTCCATACAAGTTCTTTAGTATCCCCTTCTTGGGCATTTTGGATGATGGCTGACTGAACGTAGAATGAGGTGGAAGGCTGGTGGACAACACATCAACATGTGTGTGAGCAAGTGTATGTGTTCGATAAGGCTGGGAAACAGTGTTACACAGTGGGGAGGGAGAGTTCTCCTTAGGAGGGCTGTGAAAGACTGAATCTAAACTCCTCTGGTGTTTTAGAATACCTTTGGGTTTCTTCCTTTCGATGGTGGAAGTGGAGGAAATCGCAGTGGAAGCAGCAGCAGCTGCTGCACAAACACCACCACAGGCTCCCAGTGCAGTCTGAGGAATTGCATTCTCCTTGCGTGACTTCCTGAGACTTGACATTCCTCCACGTACCCTTCCTCCTCCTCCTCCTCCTCCTGCCCCACAATCCTTCTTCAGAGGTAAGCTAAAGTAAAAGGGGTTGGGAGCGAGCTGAGGAGGACGGGAGGAGTCTGAGGATAGGCACTCAGGGTCAACAGTCATATTACTTGCAGCAGTGACCCGATTCTGCCAGTCGATGTAGCGCGCCAGCAGGGGGGAGGGGCATTCTTGGAGTGGAGACGAAGGACAGTCACACACACTCTCTTCATAACCCCAGTTCACCCACCAGTGGTTGGCCACGTCTTCTATCGTGGCCCTCTCATCTACACGTACTGTCAACAACCAGTCAATAAGAGCGCAGGCGTCTGGAGGGAACAGAGTCAACAGTTATTTATAGCTGCTGAACTGACAAACACAATGCAGTTCACACATCAAGCAAACACATTTGATACTTGTTAACATCAATGTATATATAATATTTATGGAGACGTGGACATGGACAAAAATCTACCTGAGGGGGGGTTGGGTCTGCGATATCGACCTTGGCTGATCTGCTCTGTGAGCTTGGTGTGACTTGCCCCATCAAATGGCATGCTGCTGTACACCAGGGCATACAGCAAAACCCCCAGTGCCCAGCAGTCCACCTAGCACACAGAAACACACCAAATAAGACATTTTTTTTTTCAGTCAAATTTTAAAAAATGGATTAAAGAAAATCTGTTGTAAAAATTGACCAATAACCCATGCACTGTGATTTGTTAGTGCTTCAACCCTTTGAACCCCAAAACCAGCGGGTGGGTCTGAAATGTATGCAGTCTTCAAAAATTCACCAAAACTACACCATTTATCAGAGTCAGAAACTGTAAAAACAGAGAGAATCATTGAATGTTCGTGTCAGAATGTCGCATTTAAATGTTTGTAAAAATGAAGTGTTGCAAAAGTGTTAACAAAAAAAAAAAGACATTCAATTCTGCACTTTTCAGAGCAACTGTGAAGCCATTAATGACTCAGCTGCCACGTCCCAAAAACTGCTTGACTCTTCACCTGAGCTGCAGGCTGTTTCCAGACAAATTAAAAATGAAATTAGTAGAGTATTTATAGTATGTAGGGTCACCCCCCACCCCGCCAAATGTTAGCAACACTGGTGGGCACTTGGAAAAATGTTGTAGATTATTGATTGATTGATTGATTGATTGATTGATTGATTGATTGATTGATTGATTGATTGTGATGTCGCCACATAAAGGTGCAGAACTTTATATTGCAGCATAAAAATGATCCCACAATGAGTAAAAAAGTGACCGGAGCAGAAAACCCTAAGAAGCTGGTTGGAGTGTACAGGAAATTTTATTAAGGTATTCTACTAATTTAGCACTAGAAATAATACAATAAAAAAAAGAGCAATAATAGTGGACAGTTTAAAAAAGAGGGTGTTGCTACAGAACCAGAGATGCCATCTTTGTTATTTTAAAGTATGAGGGGTGTCAGAAAAGTTCCAGGACTGCTGTCACTAAAGATATATTTAAAACCCAAACTACGAGTTTTCCCCTTCAGATGATCAACCAGCATGTCTACAAAGAGATCCCGGAGCGTTTGCTTCGTTCAGTGCGCGAGACGAGGTGAGAGCTGTGGCAGGACAAGTCGTGACTGCTTCACCATGACAACGTGCCTGCTCACAATGCCCACAATGAGCCGTGCTGGAGCAACCTCCCTACTCACCCCACCTGGCTCTGTGGGATTATTTCCTCTTTCCCAAGCTCAAGGGGGTCATCAAGGGGACCCATTTTGGAGACGTGGATGACATCAAGATGGCTGTGATGGCAGAGCTGTGGAGGATCCCGGAAGAATCCTTCCAGGAGTGCATGGCGGCGTGGCACAAAAGGCTGGGAAAGTGTGTTAGACTCCAGGGGGATTACTACGAAGGGGAAAACTTGTAGTTTGGATTTGAAAGATATCTTTTGTGACACCAGTCCTGAAACTTTTCAGACACATCTCGTATCTTCTTTGAAACCTGGAGCCTACATTAACGGCACAGAAGGTTGATCATCAACTCTTCAGCGAGTGGTTTGGGTTTGTTATGCTGCCATTTATGATGCTTTTTAAATGAAATCCAACTTGATGTGGTGACAGTTGCAAGTTAATCTCAGTTAACCACAGAACAGCATTGCACTCTTCAGCAGATTTTAAACCATGCATTGGTACTTGCGTCAATGCTGTAATACAACCAAAAATCCATAATATTTTAAAGCAGTTTGTGAAGCGGGTGTGCTGACCCACCTCAGGCCCCTGGTACGGTCGCCCTTTCACTATCTCTGGGGCAGCATACAGCGGACTTCCACAGTAGGTCTGCAGCAGAGTGCCACTCCGGAAATGATTTGAAAGGCCGAAATCAGCCAGCTGCAGAGAAACAGAGAACACAAATAAATATATTATCAGCATTCCTTTCCACCACTATTCGTGCTCGCGCTGCTACACGAGGATGACATTAGTTAGCTTATGAGCCTGTGAACCCTCCAAATGGTTTCAATTGGATGTCGATCAATACATAAATTAAATGTTGACCATAAGTGATGCACCTGCAAATGAGACCAATCCAACAGGGAATACATGATAAACAAAACGTTAAAAGTATGTATCATATTGTATTTGAAACTTAGTTAGCTGTTGGTGCACATTTGTGTGAACAAAAAGGTTGATGTGACATTGAGTCTCGGTCCCAGATGACAAAACTACCTTAACAGCTGTCACATTAAAAAGAAAAAAAAAACACACAGACCTCAGTCCAACACAGCACTCTGAAACTTCATGACATAACCGGTGAATCAATTAACACTAAACCCTTCCTAAATTTCCTTCACTCATTCACTTCAGCACTCGCACTCATCCTCACGCAATCCAGATTCCTTTCCAGTGACTGTGCAGCGCAAACTTCTAGTCATGCGGCAAAACACAATAACTTAAAAGCAATTCCTTTTAAAGAAGCCAAGAATAGGTATGCTGAGCTTTTGCCAGTGCAAGTGTGAGTGAGGAAGGAGACGAGGGCCAAAAACATCAGGCTGCTTACGCTCACGTAACGGAACAATCACTCACTCCAGGCTGCGAGAGCCATACACAGACATACCATGCCTCCTCTCTATCTGGAGAGATTATTTGCGTGCACACTAGTCCGCTATCAGCCCCTTCGGTGTTGAAAATATTCAGCATGACAGCTTTATTTCCATGGTTCAGACTCACAGAGACACAGGGACCTCACATGTAGAAAGATTCTGTATACAAGCCAGCTCACTGTTATTCTACACAAAGTGGCAAAAAATGTGTATTAGACAGAACAAGTGAGTTGCGCAGTTTATACAGCTTTGCTTTCTACATGATGCTGTGTGTTTGTGTGTGTGTGTGTGCATCCTGCAATGAAAACTGCCTGTGCCCACCAGAGACATCTCTGAGAGGTTGCTGGACTTGTTTTCCTGCTTCGGCAGACACATTCTTGTATACGACACGATCTTTCTTGTAAATATACGAGCAACAGTACATGTGCCTGAGAATTACATGGACTGCTATAAAAAGCCACAGTCTCCCCAAACTGCAGTTAGGCTTGGGACACATTTTCCAGCTGTTTTTTGAGGGCATGGGAATAAATTATTATAAAAGAAAGTAACATTTTGTTTGGTTCAGAAGACACACACACACACACACACATATATACATACTGTCCTTCTGAAGAACAAATCAGCTGATGATATGTTATGGCTACCGTGATAAAAGCTATTAATTCAACATCTGTATTTTAATCAGAGATTCACCAATGCACTGAATTTTGTGGTTGACTTGCTTTGTTATTTAAATTGCATTTTAATACATAAACTGACCTAAGCACTAAAATACAAGTTAATCTTCTAGCTGCCCCTGTGCACTGTGTAAACATTTTTGCACAGACGTTCCTCACAACATGAGCTACTTAATGTATATCTGGTCAAACTTAAACTAGCGTGTTTGCCGGTGCACATCAGTGGACGAAATCTTGAATGAATACGTTACACAAATGCTTTCGTAATACTCAGTTCAGGCAATATAAAAATCCGCGGTGCAGACTAACATGTGGATTCAAACGTGAACATATCTGGCTGTTCCTGCCTTCAACACATGCTATTAAGCAGCTATTGTGCAGACACGGCACACACATGCATTGCACAGGGCCTCGGTCATTTCCTGCAGCAGATGTTGTGAAAGGCCAGTGTGGTGAACCCGTGGTGATGAGGTTGGCAATGAATGGAGCACTGCTGAGAAGTGGTTTCTTTCCATGGACAGAGCATACATATATTTAAACTCTCTGACTGGCACGAATGCCAAGATTGCAGCTAGATTCCCCGAATTCCCCTTTGTCCATGCACAGCTCCCAAATAAGGAGAGTGATATCCAAAAAAGGCAATAAATATCCCCGGGGTTCTTTGTGTTTGGTCAGATTCAATGTGAATAGCTCAACAACACATTAAAATTGCTGTGGGCAGAAAGTGCTCCAATGTATGTTCTGAATGTGGACTTTGCATAATATTTTGGAAGAAGCAAAATAATCCATTACCAGCTATGTGAAGTTTTATCCAAGTATGCAAAACACAGCAGCAGTGGAAAACAACTGTTTCCTGAAATGTCTCAGCCAGTGTGTCAAATGGGTGAATGCACTTTTGTGACGTGAAAGCGGGGCTTACAAGATAAAGAACCCATGATGCATTTCAGCGCTCTGTTTTTTTGTGTGTGAAGGTGATATGAGGGCTTGGTTTGGGTGTATTTGATAGATCCTACCTTTACGTTCAGATCTTGATCTAAGAGGATGTTCTCCAACTTCAGGTCTCGATGCACGACGCCGTTCTGTGAGAGAGCAGAGACACACATGAGGTCCTGCACTTGGACAATCTCAAAAAAAGGTTATCCAAATGTTGAATTTGTGGTGAATGTGAGGAAGTGCCTTGTATGGGTTAATTATTCTGATGAGGATTTGATCAACTGATGGCACCTGTGAGCCAGTGAGGGGCACAAGGATTGTGCAGCTTGGTGAGGAAGAGTTCACTTCAGATCTGACGCTGGGTAAGTAATAATTTAAAAGAAGAGACAAAAACCAGCCAGGGAGTTGCATTATGCAGAGAAATGTTGAACATTGCTGTCAGTTTGTCTTAAAAAGCCTTGTTTCTTTCATTAAGAGAGCACTTTTGTGGGTGAAATGACCTATAACCTTAGACAATATTTTGTGTGCATAATGCAAGCCTCCGTGTCCTTTTGCATGTGTTTACAGGAAAGTCAGAGACAAAGATAAAAGAAATTGATGTGCTTATTCAGGTTGTTATTCTTGCTATTTTTAAACTGACTATGAACTGATTTGGATAATAATTTTTAAAAAAGCAGCAAATGACTCTCTCAAAGCCTCGATAATCTCTCCATGTGCCCTGCATACCTCTGAGGCACATTCAATAATTCATTCATGCCGAAACATTCATGTCTATTTTGGGACAATATTCAAGGGCACGAGGAGCACAAAATCCACCTCCCTGCACACTACAAAGCTACAGGAGCTGAATGATAATCTCCGGGTTTAATATGAAGGATTCATGAAGAATCCAAAGTGCCATAATAAGAATGGAAGTTCTTTAAAGGAAAACAAAAGCCTTTCTGTCATATCCAGCTCAGGCCCACATCCTCACTTCTCTATTAATAGGATTGATGCATTTCCTTGATAATTCCTGTTTTCTGGCACAACTGCTGATTGTATGTACACAACAATAAAAACAAGGAAACAAAAGAGGAATTTGTTCCCTGGCCAAGGCTTACAGTAATGTGGAATGAGGAAGGAGGCTCATTTACGTACTTAAATGTGTCAGTGTGTGACTGTACACAGCAATCAAAGCTTAATGCGCTCTTAACCCAGAGAGATCTGAAAACTCAAGTCAAGTTTTTCTGTAGTATTAGGATTAGGATTTAGTGGACTTACAAGTACAGTATTTGCTTATGCACGGTTGAATACTGCAGCATGCAATTCAGCACGTGCCTCCATGTGCTTCACTGATTTATACAGAATTCCTGTGTTGCATTAGCGGAACATGTATGTGTATCTACAGTATGTGTGTGCGTTAACCTTGTGGCAGTAGTGGACAGCGGATGTGATCTGCCTGAAGATGCTTCTGGCTTCTGTTTCTGGCAGTCGCCTCCTCTCCTGTATGTAATCATACAGCTCTCCTCTGCTGGCATATTCCATCACTATCACGATCTTATCCCGGCTCTCAAACACTGTCAGCACAGGGCAGAGGAAACATACAGAACGGCATTATGCAGATGTGTTTATATTATTATTATTATTAGGGAATGCTTCAAATCTGCACTATACAATGCAAAAAGAGAAGTTATAGATTATTTCACATGTAGATATATATCTGCTGATCTGAACGTGTAAATGTATATTCTTTTGGTGAACGTCTTTGAGGCCACTTCTCAAAGATTTCTGAATTTCTGTATGTGAGGCTGTGTGGACTTTCTCCTGCTTGAAGATGAATACTGAAATGCTTTTCCTATAAATTCTAGTTAAACTTTAAAGGAAACAGAAATAGTTCACATTGTCTGTTACTTATACAGCTTTCCCTCTCCCTGATTAGGGTTAAACTAATCAAAAAGATTTAATCAAGTGCCAAGATTGCTTGATTCTTTGGTATTTTTAGCCCAGATTTAATTTGACATATACTTGTAAGGACCTGATGTAAAAATTTCATTCACTTGATAGCACTGACAAAAATGTCTGCCATATAAAACCCAACAGCTGATGATAAATGTGTGACTTTTAAGGACTAAGCACGTCAATATTTTATTTTTGTTGCTGTCAAAAAAATCCAGTCCAAACTCACCAACGTGTTAGAACATATCTCAAAACTGTTTTTACTCCAGAAACATTCAAAAATGGTTCACAAACAGTTTTTTCAAAGACTAAACTAATCTCCCAAAATGGGTTAAAAAATGTTTTTAAAAGAAATGTATAAGCCTCAAAACAAATGCTGTAAAATTATTCCTCGTGTAACTCATGTGATTCTTTTATGTCTTCAGAACATTCCGAGTTTTAAAAGCTTTGCGGTCATAAGACAGTGGAATAACTCCTCATACTATTTAGGACTAGTGTGCGGCTGCGTGAGTTTGCAGTCTTACCCTCATGGAAGCGTATGATGTTAGAGTGCCTGAGTGACGAGGTGATCTCGATCTCTCTCTGGATATGAATTCTGTCCAGGTCATCTGTAATGCGCTCTTTGCGGATTGACTTGATCGCCACCTGAGATGGAAGAAACACAACTCTCGTATTATGAAAAGCTTTTTGTTCAAATCGCACACAGTTTGATCAGTCAAGTGATTGAGTGTGGATGGTTAACAACTTCAAAAAGGATAGAGGTTAATATTTGCTCATTTCTGTCGAGCAAATTCATCCTTTACAGGTGGAAAACAGCATTAGGTCATAAAGGGATAGATGCTATCGTGACGAAAACTGATTAAACACTGATGAATGAGCACAGTTCACTTGCAGTGTGATGCGAGGGAACAAAGATATACATATTTACTGTTGATATACACACATGCATACACACGCAAATCAAATCTCTGGGTATTAGAGGTGATTATGTGGGTTTTAAGGGCTGGATGGTGAGACACAGGTCTCCTGTGATGTGAGCATAGACAGAAGGCTGACAGCTGCACTGTTCACACTCTGTTCCCTTAATCCCAGGCCCTCACTGCACCCCAATGCAACCCCCAACCCGCAAATACACACAGACACACACCAAAACAGAAACCCTAACAGAAGCCCCTAAACCTCTTTACATAGAGGAGCTATCACAGAAATGACACCCTACATGGGGACGACAGAGGCAGACAAACAAACAGACATCACGGTGTTCCATCTTGGTATTGGTTTGGTATAAACAGTCGGTGAAGCTGCGGGACTAATTTGTTAGGTTGACATCCAAACACAGGACTGATCATACTGCTGTCAACCCCTGAGGTGTCCCTATAGGGGAGCCGGCCTCTCCCCCAGGTCACAACTCCAGCATTCTCAGCTGCCGGAAAAACGTCTACGAGACATTGGAAGACACAATTCACACGCTCCACCAATAGTTATGCAACACAACACAAACACACACCAGGGAGCTCCTGGGACTGACCTGACCTTCTAAAACTGTCATGGAAATATTTGTTCTTGTTCTTTTTTTTTTTTAAGTTTGTGTCTTTTCTTTAATCCAGAGCTAAGCATATTAAAATGTTTGTGGTCACATCACCAGACACCCCAAGCCTGCGATCTCCTTTAAGCCAGAGGAACTAGCTGCCGGGCAACAGTTTGCACTTAGTGGCGTGCGTCCAATTTTAGGGAGATGTTAACATGTGGACTCCCATCCTCATGAAGATTTTCTGACGCAAATACTTAAGGCAATGCGATGAAGGGGAGGACATTAAAGTAAATTGTAGGGATGAGGAGGGATAATGTATGAGGTAGAACTGAACAAATGAAAGGAACTGAATGAAATATGCCAAAGTATGCGGGCTTAGGGCAAAAAAGGCATTTTAGTGTCACTTTAAGCCCTAATTTACTTCCCAAACTTGGCATTAACTCTTGATCAGCAAAGCACAGAAAGGAGGACAGACACACACACTGGGCATTGTTCATCTTCACGGCAATGAAAAACATCTTTATTAAAAGGGCACGTGCGTGTGGAGGAGGTTTGACGACGTGTGCGTTTGCGTGATCTCACTCATGTAAATATGCTGCACATGCGTCACGCTTAAGCATGGCCTCTAAACTACCCTTCATTCTCAACAATGTCTCATTGTTCATCCACATAATGTGCTGCGTGTGAAATATCAACCTGAAAACTGTAACTGGACGCATGCAGGAAACATAAGCAGCAATGTGTGTGAGTCATGCAGACGGATTTAGATTTACATTATTAGAGAAAGTGAGAAGCAGAGGAGCACGCAGCTTATATTGTAGTTGTACAGCCAATACAAATGTACAGCATGTTCAGGGAGAGCTGCACAGCCATATTATAACAACACTTAGTTTAAACCACACAAGTGGAATGTTTACTTTCCCCTCCTCCTCTTCGTCTCCTTCATATTCCAGCTCGTGTCCTGGTTGTGTCTTAAGAAAAGTGTTTTGCGCTAATGTGTGGACTGCTGACTTATTGCAGGTGTTTTTGTCGTGAGTTTGTGTGAAGTGCACTCACTTCCTGCTATGTTACACTCACAAACACATGCACACACATTAAAAAAACAGACACACGTATGCATCCCAAGAAGCCGAGCTTCACTGAACGTCCCTGCAGCATCTGCGAAAGATTTTACAGCAGGATTATACAGGCTCCGTGCCAAACAGACCCTTGACCTCAACATTCAGCTGCAAACACACAGATGCCTTAAGCCGTCCCTTTCCTTACCCAGGAACTACAGAGCGGCACTGTGTATTGATGATTGGAGAAAACAACCTAGTGAGAGTGATAATTTGACAGTTTAGGAAATAGCAGCTGGTGGGCGCAACGACTTCCTGGAGTCTGAACTGATGATGACAAGAGTTTGGGAAGCCCCTGCCAAGAAATAGTCCGGTGCAGAAATACCCCAAAGCTGAAGGATTTGGGGAAAATATATGATTGCAATTTTTCTAAAAATATTACGATTGGAGTTTAGACTTTTCTAATGTCAAGCTTTAGTTCAATGCTCGCCTTGTGACAGATTTCAAACATGCGATCGAGCATTACAACATGAGAAACCAACAGAAGCGTGACTGTCTCACATGTGTTTACGAGGTGTGTCAGAAAAGTTCCAGGACTGGCATCACAAAAGATATACTTCAAACCCAAACTACAAACCACAAGTTTTCCCCTTCAGATGATCAACCAGCACATCTGCAAAGAGATCCTGTGGCGTTTGCTTCGTTCAGTGTGCAACAAGAGGCGAGAGTTGTTGCAGGACAAGTCGTGGCTGCTTCACCATGACAACGGGCCTGCTCACAATGCCCTGAGCATCCGACAGTTCCTGACTGAGAAGAACATCACCGTGCTGGAGAAACCTCCCTACTCACCCCACCTGGCTCTGTGGGATTGTTTCCTCTTCACCAAGCTCAAGGGGGTCATCAAGGAGACCCGTTTTGAAGACGTGGACGACATCAAGATGGCTGTGACGACGGAGCTGCAGAGGATCCCTGAAGAATCCTTCCAGGAGTGGATGGCGGCGTGGCAGAGAAGGCTGGGGAAGTGTGTTAGACTCCAGAGGGATTACTTCAAAGGGGAAAACTTGTAGTTTGTAGTTTGGATTTGAAATATATCTTTTGTGACATCAGTCCTGAAACTTTTCTGACACACCTCACATGTGATTAACAAGCTTACCAGCACCTTTCTGATGTCGGGGGTCTTTATTTTTCTGAAACAAGGACCAGGGATTGAACTTCTTCCTCTAACTCAACTTTTTTATTCTTGGAACAACCATTTCTGTCACTTTTGCAGTGAACAAACAAGTTCAACTCTTTTTTCCGTATGTCCTCCAAGAGAAACCGTCTGAAAATGTGCACCATTATCCCAACATTTAAACAATACTCAGTCTCAACCCTTCCCATGAAAGTTGGATTTTCTGACTGGCCGTTCAGATAAACACATTTCTGACGCGGTCTGACCACACATGTTGTGAACCACTTCTTTTCTGGTATAACCCATCCATTAGTGTTGCTAGTAGCCAGATTTTGTTACCTTGGAAAGGAGCCAGGCTCTATCTTTCCCCTCTGGCTGCTTTGTTCAGCTTCATAAACAGACAGAAATAAGAAGGGTATCTATCTCACAATATACTCAAAATAGAACATAGGTGAATTTCCAAGATCTGAATTTTTTGATGACACGTCTGGTGTGTGTTTTTCCTCAAAGAAGATGAATGAGTTGCTGCATCTGGCACCTACAAGTATTTTTCTTTTGGAAGATGTGCTGCAAAACAGGCTATGTCTTTCCATATGCAGCAAATCAAGTTAAAAGTTGCGCAGATGTGAAGTCATTTTGCAAGAAACAAAAACATCTTAATGTATTTTCTAACATGCTTCAGCTTTAAAGACGGCTGAGGCTCCGGGCCAATGTAAGTGACTTATAACACAGATTATTGAGACAGTATAACCAAGATCTGGTATTCATCACCCTGTCCTTCCATGTCATCCTCTGCATTAGTTAGGCTCAACTTCTGTGCCAAAGCAGAACAAGCACTCAGACATTTGACAACCTCAAGTCAGCTAAAACTACTGCTGCTGCCTCCCCTTCCTTCTCTTCTTCCCCTTCCTCGTTCTAAACTGTCTCCTCCTCTGCCTCCTCCTCTCCACACTCTAACAACAGTCCCCCAGTCTTGTTTCCAAAAATAATGTCCGTTTTGTTTCAAGGAATCCTTGGTATGTGCTGGCTAATGGCGCAAGGAATTCAGCATTTTCCCCCCTTGTCCTAAACCCACTCACCCTACACACACACACACACACACACACACACACACACTACATAGCAGCTCTCCTCTCTGTATATCCTCTCATCGGAGTCCTACCTTTCCTCTATCTTTTTCTCCCCCTCTCTGTTCTTTTATTCTTCACAGATGTAAGTCTAGTCTAAGAGTTAAAGCGGAAGCAGCCAGATGAATTGTGAAAGTCTCACTTTCACAATCTGATTGCCTGAAAACGATTATCCCTATTCCTGTGTGTTTGTTTACTTAAAAAAAACATTTAAAGAAAAAAACAAAAACAGAAGGGGTATTCGAGGCTGATGAAGCGTCTGTCTCTTTGTGCTCAGATCACGGCAGAGTGAGGGATTAAGGCCTGACCGTAGACATAAACCCACGATTATTCAAACTAATCTGGCACCAAATTCTGTTTTTAACCCAGATCCTCAGAAAGTAAAGTTACATAGAAACACACACACACACAGTGTCTGCCTGCCTTGCTTGCCTCTGTGCTAGTTTGCATGAGTGTACTTCACTGGGTGTCTGGCAAAGGGGGTCAGGCTCCTGCTGGAGGAGACCTATTGTAGTAATTTTATCCCCTTGTTCAAGTGCTGAGTGAGTCAGACCAAAGGAATCTCAGCCTGGCAGCACAGGAAGCAAGAACAGGCTTCAGCATCAATCCATGAGCTCAGGCCACCCAGGAGGTCATCTCCACCTCCAAATTAATATTTAATAACCAATGGGCAACACTCTTGGAACAGCACCAGTCTTGGTACACAATCACACACACACACACACACACACACATGCACAGGGAGACTTCTGAAGATAAAAGCCTGAGGAGGTGAGAATCAATCAATTATACACAATCAATGTGCAATCAACCACCAGCATTAAATTCTGCAAGAGAAAGTTCAGAAAGGCTCCTCCAGGTGCACACGACTCACCGTCTTCAGACTCGCTCTCTCCACTGCTTTCTTCACTTTGCCGTACGTGCCTTTCCCCAGAGTCTCCATCACCTCGTAGCGGTGCTTCAAGTTGTGCTTGTGCTGGTGCTTCTTCACTTCCATCGGTGCCGTGGCAGCGCGCTCCGTGGCCTCCGCGTCTGCGTTTCTCTGCCGCTTGTCCATCCTCCGGGGCTGCTCGGCGTCCTGCAGACACCCGAGGCCGGAGCGGTCGCCGTTGTTCATCGCGCCCCTGCTGTCCGCCTCACGTCTGCCCATCCTCTCCGCGCCGCACCGTGCGCACCTGTCAGCAGCCCGCAGCCCCAAACCGTTCGGAGTTTGCGCCACGAGCAGCCGAAGCTCATGTAGATCAAATTCGCCCCCTCCAAACTGCTCGCCTAGCTTGACAAAGGACAAATCAGGAGGAAAACAAAAAAACACATCCGATCCATCTGAGCAGCAGCTGTGTCTCTCTCTGGTCCTCCACAACACAGCAACAGGAGCGATGGGAACCACATGGTCCGGAGCGATGGGGTGGAGCCTTCTCGCTCCACAAGCAGCTCTCTGGGCAACATCCCGGCGCGTCACAGTCATTTGGGGATCGTGTTGGGTTTTCCGAAGACCGGCCCAGCAGCACAAGAGAGAGGGCGAAGGCATGCACGGAATGTCTTGCGGGTCAGACTCACCCTAAAACCCACCACTTCAGTCAGACATGTTTGTTGATGCTTTGCCATGTGGTGAGCTCTGAAAAAATAAATCATGGAGAAGACTTTGAAGAGTAGGCTCTGAAGTTAGAGAGGAAGAGGTTTGTAAGAGCAGGAAAGGCACAGCCTTACATTCTTTTGTTTTATTTCAACATACAAATAACTATATATACAGTCATGGAAAAATGATTAGACCAGCCTTGTTTTCTTCAATGTCTTGTTCATTTTAATGTTTGGTACAACTAAAGGTAAATTACATGAAGAATACAGTGAACACCAGGGCCGTGCAGAGAGATATGCAATATATCAGATGTTTTCTATGTAAAAATGCATGGTCCCTGATCAAACAAACAAATAAATACTACAAACACTCAGTATACAGGCTTCACAGATGAACACACATGGATTACATACTGTGAGCATCAGACAGGATGATATTGGGGCTCCTTCCTCCCAGCTCCAGAGTGACTTTCTTTAGGTTAGTGCTGCCTGAAGCCTGCTGCATTAGATGACCGACCTGATGGACAACGACAGGGAAAGGAAGAGATGATGACGTCTTCAGATGACATTGTTTCATAGATGGAATAGTTATTGCTAGAAAACGTGCTACTGCTTATTTAGCTGCAAGAGGTCATCAGCCAAACTGATAGGAAAGAAAAAATAAAGCTCTTAAAGAAAAGCACACCATCCTCCATGTGAAGCGTACTAGATCCAGCTGTGTAATGAGGCAACTTTTCTGCGTTCGCCGCAGCTTTCCTTGAATCTGTACCGATCACAATGAAAGATTATCAAAGCGTTTTAGAGCGACATACTGCCCGGCATCAGAGAGGCTGTTTCAGTTGTAGATCACAGCTACTCCAATAAGATAATGACCGCCTGCTTAACAGTGCAATCAAAACGTTCTGAGATGAAATAAATAAAACATGGCAACCATCATCATCACTTTCAAGTTTTCTGCTTCTTTGTGGCCACAAATATATCTCCTGTTTTTTCAGTTATTTTTAGTGTTCTATACAGCATGTCACTGTCCTTCCCACGATAACTAAAAGTTTTATTTGCTTATGGAAATAGATTGCTGCTGTTGCACTTTCCCCCCCCAGCTGACACACAATACGGACGGTTAGTGAACTGTAAGGAGACAGTCGTATTTTAAAACTGGATTAGAAGTGCTGACTCAGCCTTTCAAATTTAATGATAAGGCAAGTGACCATAATAAGGATTTGATTCAAGAGTAATGCTAACTATTTGGAGCTGTAATGGATTTTCCACGGTATTTTGAACTTGATGTCAGCTGTGACCAATCTTTGTAATTGACTAGCAAAATATAATCCAAATCCAAGCCCAATAAAAGCAATATTACCAGCCCACACTTTACCTGCACATCAGGTGATACATTTCAGTCTAACACAAAGCATTCTCTTACCTTTGTGGTGAAGCCAGCTCAGCCAGTGTACTGAAAGTTAACAGAGTTTTGGTCTGATTGCAGAGGGTACAATTTGGTTTATTCAAGGTTTAACACATCTACAAATCGAGAAAAAGATCTTCAAAGCAAAGTAATCAAAAGTACTTCAAACAAAATACTCCACTTCCTGCAATGTCTCAGTTTTGTACCAGGAGCATTGAAAAACTCCTCTTTCCTCTAAATACAGTTACAGATAAAACACAGGCAAACTGTTAGTTACGCTACATCTATATTAAACTAAAAAAATGTCATTAGATCTATAAAACTGCTTGACAAGTTTTTTTTTTTTAGCCATAATTATTTTTTGTTTGTCAAAGCGAGAGATTTAAAAAAATGTAAATGTCAATGCTAGAATGTGTTGCATTGTTACAGCGGTACACTTTATTTTTCTGCACAGATCAATCAGAGGCTGACCTGGATTTGATTACACGTGGGATCCTAGCAGCTAAAAATGTAAGAACAGATGGAAGCAATGTTCATGTTCACAATTTTTTCTTTGTGTCCTCTTTCTTTCATTGTCTAATTGTAATCATTGTTTGCTTTCAGTGTCAATGATAAAAAGAGGAGTCTCGGCCACATCACGTCACAGGTGGATCTCTCAGAAGTGTTCATCAATCTCATCAAAGTCTACTGAGAAGCTGGTGACAAAAGGAGAACAGTACAGATACTTGTATTTATATACAACAAGTCAACCTGAACACAAGACAGGAAAGTCATAGGGAGCAAGAAGACTGAATAGAGACTAATCTGTCCACAACACAGTGAGCCGTCAGCCGGGCGTCTGGCTCACAGTCCCAGGAGTTTTCCAGGAGCTCCTCCAATGCAGATCCCTGAGAGTATAAGACAGTTAAACATTCATTGCTACATAGTCAACATGACTGTATATCCAAACACAAAGCCCCAGTGTTAGCATACCTGTGGTAGCAGTTGCCAGTGTTTAGGTATGGAGGGTCTGTTGTCCTTGTGAGACACGTAAGAGATGAGGCTCTCCAGTGTTACATTGGCTCCCAGCTCCAATTCATACGGCACGAGATGCTGTGGAACAATACCGCCTAAAGATGGAAGCGTTTGTAGAAATTAGAACATTCATTTTGTCACCGCGTTCTTTAGTGACAATGGTATCTGCACTGAATGTAGTCTGTAGCACTGGAGGCAAGGCTTAGTGAACTGAAAACATGGCTCCACACCGTGGAAAACAACAAATTAGCTGCAAACGCTTGTTGGGTGAGACCCAACAGCCCTGTCAGAAAACCTCTCCAGGCAGTTGAAGAATAGCCCTGAGCAGAAACCCCTGGTTCACCACATACCAATTCAGATACATTTTCGTTTTGACATCTGATAAAATAAAAAAAATTTAAAAACCCTGCCCATTTGGAGATGTGAAGGTAAAGATCCCAGTATCCACAGTTAAATGAATTCTTGGGGCCATAGTAATATAATAAGACAGTAATGACAACTGATTACAGTAGTTGGAGGTCACTCTGATTAATATGGGCTTCAGAGACAGTCGGAAAACTTTGAGCAAAACATGATGAAAAAAATTAAATGGTACTCCTATGTAGAAAGATTATTAGAAAAACACCACACATAACACCCATAGTTGAGACCAGGGGTGCCACAGGGGATTTCTTTTAGCATCATATTGGGCCTCAACACCTCACTATCATATGCAACCCAGAAAATCAACACTGTGCAGACATGCATGGAGCATTCTGCATATAAAGAAGTTCACCGTTTGATCCAAGGCTGAAATCCTTTATAAGAAAGGCCACATTTTTAAAATTCAAAAGTAATATTGATGGTAAAACTTTCACTGGAAATTCCCCTTAACTGTAATAAACAAATATACATGTCTTGAAGATTGTACTGACCTCTCAATTTAGAACAAGTTAACATTACAAATTATAGAATGATATGAAATAGGACTGCTTGGTGGACCTTTCACCGGAAAAAGCAAGTATAGGATATGGACTGGTATGGAATGTGCATTCCTGTCATTTTGTTGGCTTATTTTAGCTGCAGGCACTGCAGAAAAGAAAAAAAAAAACAACACTGAATAGTGCAGGATATTGACCCAGATTACCTGCAGTTGTGTTTCACACCACTAGATGTCAGTCTTCATCAAATCCACAGAGACTACTATATCTTGGACTTGAAAACATAATTTAAACATTGGCTTTAATTTTAATACAGACGGAGTCACTCAATGCTTCAAACTGTCCTGCATCCAGAACAGACTGCCGGCTGTTTTTGTCTCATATGATGATCACTTTGAGGAAAAATAACTGTAACTGTAAGTAACTTTGGACATATTTTCGACCTGGATATGTATTCCATCTCATTAAGGTTAGTTACCTTCAAATAAATCCGAGCAGCGCATCCAGATCTCCCACAGCAGCAGTCCCAAAGCATAGACGTCCGCCTGCATAAGAAACTCGCTGCTGTTCAGGTTTACGGAACCTTCCAGGATTTCAGGGGACATATATTGCAGCGTGCCCAGCTGAGCGTGACCCTACAGAAGTGTGTGTTAGTAGCTTCTAAAGATTTGTGGAATTTAAAAAAAATACAATGTTTTTAATTGCAGGAAAAAAAAATAATTCTTGATACATTTGCACAGTTAAGCAGAATCTTTTTCCTTTTAAAGGTGACAGTTTTAAAAAAAAAATTGTATTTGATGTTGGTAACATGTCCATATGGTTTCATATGCTGCTAAACACATCATGAGCAAAATGAGCACTCATCCGTATGGTTGAGTTCCAACATGAAACTGCCGTGCACCAATTAAAGTTTCAAAAACATACAAGGGTACTTTGAAAAGTTCTTGGCCTCACCAGAAACCATCACAGAAGAAAAATCATTCTTGCATTACTTTTCAACATAGTCCCCTTTTAATGTCAATGTACTTGGTCCATCGATGTTAAAGCTTTACTATCCCTTCGCAGCAGGAGGTCACATCTTGAGCCTCCAGATACTCCTCAACAGCATGCATGACTTCATCATCACTAGGAAAATGGTTCAAGTGGGATTTCAGTTTTGGAAACAGTCAAACGACGCAGGTCTGGTGAGTAAGGTAATTGGGGCAACAGTTCAAAGCGGCATTTGGCTATGTCTGTTAGCTGTGCTGTGTGGGCGGACACATTGTCCTGGAACAGTTGTGGACAATGATATAAGACTTTATAATATGCATTTACACCCCAAAATGGGAGTTACACCCCTTGTTTCTGGGTGAGGCTGAGATCTTTTTGAAGTACCCTCGGAACATTTAAGGACTCAATCCAGTGAACTTGGGAGGTGGGTCTTTCTGCATATTTATATTATTACCAGTTTCCAGTTGATTTGAATGAGTATGGCTGAATTTCTCCAATATTACAACTTGTCATTATCTAGGGTAGAGCAGTTTTACAGTGTTTTAGCTGCATCGTGGCTGAGCTGGTGTGCACAAGCTGCAGTGAATGGTGGAGGGCTGAGTGGAGAGAAAGGCAGGGATACTAGATCTGGGCATAAGTATGGAGGCAAATGTGTACAGTTACATCTAAGCCATTTTCAGGCAAGAAGGGATTGTTTTCAGGGGGGTAAAATGCTAAATATGTTTAAGTTTAATTAATGACTGAAGCTGGATTATAATGAGATGAATTCATTGCACCAAGAATTCATAATTGTGCTCCATGTTCATCGCTGGAATGTCTCACCTCCATGTTTGTGGTGTGGCTCTGGCAACAGCGACGCTCCGACCAAGAACGCAGGATGGTGGAGCATCCAAAGTCACACAGGACGCAGGTACCATCTGCTGTCACCAGCACATTGGAGCTGCTGAGGTCGCTGTGGGCCACAGGGGGTTTATGCACACCTGCAAGAAGAAAGACACACATAATTAATTGTGAAAAGAGTTGGAGTGGGCGCTAAATCTATAAAGACTCTCATAATCATTAAGCAGAGGTTGTGGTGACTGCACATGTAGCCTATATAAGCACCTTTTTCTATTCTTTTCATTTTGTGTGATAACAGTTTTAACACACTTGCTTTCTACGTAGAATGGCTACAACACACACACACACACACATACACACATACGCTCACAGTGTTATTCTGGTCAGTACCATTGCTGTGAAGGTCAGAGTGGAGATAGGAAAGCCCCTGTGCTAGCGACTGGCACAACTTCAGTGACGACATCCAGCTGGTGGTGTGTTTAGACAGAAAGGAATGGAGAGAACCCTGAAATCAAAGAGACACCAGTTACTGATGTCTGACCACTTTCATCACACTCTCCGCAAGTTTATACTGGCCGACTATAAATCCAGCCCTTGATGGAAGAAATGGTTATCATCTGCATCAGAACAAATGACTGAGAACATTTTACAATCTCATCAACGACGAAAGCCATACATTTAGAATTTTATTAACTGAGTTTTTTTTTTGTTTTTTTTAATAGGTTACATCACTAGACATGTAGGGTCATGGGTGCTGCCTTAAAGTTGTGTGACACTACAACTGCCTGAAGATCTCAGAGGAGCTTTTAAAATTAGTGAAACTGATAACAGATATAGATAGAACAGATAAAATAATAGACACTTTTTAATGTAGGCTGAAACCCATCTGTTTTATGTCTATGTAGGGAAATTTTCTAAAAAACAGTTTTATGGTTCTTCAAGACACCCTTCGACCAAAATAAAGTTGTTGTTGTTTTTTAAAATTCACTGGAGGATGTATTGTGAATGAAATGAGCCTGTGCATATGACAGTCTAAAACACACAGATTCAGAGATCTGTGGTGTTACACCTTAAAAAATCCTTAAGGGGCTACTCTTCTCTACTTGTGAGGCTTTCAGTTGTGTAACTATTTTTTTTTAGAAACAGTTTCTGATTCAAACGTGCGTAGTTATTGCAACTTGTCTTTGTGTATCATAAAGTCAAGGGTGAGCTGGTGTGCTTGAGCTGCAGTCAGTGGCAGAGAGGTGCATGGAGAGAGAGGTGGAGACTTGAATGTGAACATTCCAAAGGAGGCAAATCTAAAGTACTTTAAGGCAGGAAGGGATCCATCCATTATCTATACACCGCTTAATCCTCATTAGGGTCGCGGGGGGGCTGGAGTCTATCCCAGCTGACTTAGGGTGAAGGCAGGGGACACCCTGGACAGGTCACCAGTCTATCACAGGGCCACACTTAGAGACAGACAACCAAGCACACTCACATTCACACCTATGGACAATCTAGAATCACCAATTGACCTCAACATGTTTCTGCTGTGTGGGAGGAAGCCGGAGAACCCGGAGAGAACCCACGCTGCACGGGGACAACATGGAGACTCCTCCCGGGACGTGAACCGGCGATCTTCTTGCTGCGAGGCAACAGTGCTACCAACTGCGCCACCCTGCAGCCCGCAGGAAGGGATTATTTTCATTAATGACTGGAGCATTTTACTGTTTTAGTGTAATCCATTTGTTTTATGTAGCGTTTTCACATTTTAGACTTTCGCCTTGTGTCTTTCATTGCTCATTTATTCATTTTTTAATTTTTTTTTCATAAAGTCTTTTATCGTCATTTATATACACACAGTTGTGGTGTACATTAGTCTCCATATTCACTATCCCGTGAATACGACATGTTTTTTTCTTTGTCTGTCCGCTCCCTCTTTTCCCTCTTATAGCTATTGATATCTCAGAAACACGGCTGGAAACCGCTCAGTTTCTTTTTATATATGGCTTTGACTCACATATTCAGCAAACTGCAGCACAATGAAGCAGCTGTTATCATCTGGTTTCCTCCCAGTGCCGAGGAAGTGCACAATCCCAGCATGCGTCATCAGTGGTAGCTCATAAATCTCCTTCTCTGTGATAAATTTAGGTTTCCAGTCCGCAGGTAAAACTTTCACAGCCACAACAGATCCCTTGTATTTCCCTTGAAAAACAGTTGCAAAATGTCCTTGGCCCACAATCTGTAAGACATATAAACAAACAGGTAAACTGTCACAACCTGACTTTAATTCGCACACTGCTGACCGTGGAGTTTAAATCGATTTGATGGCGGGGCTTACCTGCTGTAGCTCAATGTGAGCAAAGTCAATCTCAGGGGATTTGACTGTTTGACAGGAGCATGGTGATGGTAAACTGTAGTCATCACAGGAGGATTGTAGATTCTGCTCTAAAATAATGCAATACAATACGTCTTATCACCGTGCAATCATTGAAGGTAATCTGACACCACAGTAAAGCCGTCACTCATTTGAAACTTGGCCTGACCGAATGATGACTGAAAGACACAGAAATGTGACTGAAGAGTGGCAGAGGCACAGAGGGAGTACTGTAGCAGAGATAAACAGCAAACTCAGTGTAGCAGAGAGAATGAAAGTGTTCCAAGGTCAAATAAAGACATCATGAGAACTGAAGATAAGTGTATAAAATGTGCAAACAGTGACATTTTTCTCAGCTATTGTTGGTTGGGCAATTATAAAAAGTGTATTTTTATTGTGTTTTTTTTTTTTTACAGAACAACGATACAGTCTGTATGATGTGCTGATGAGGTGTAGAGTTTGTTATTTACCTCTGTATGAGACTAGACAACAACTAAACAACAGTTACTTCATTATGAAGACATCTGATGACCACAACTTGAACTCATTTTGCTGTGGTATTCAATCAGGCCATGCAACACATTATTACCACAGGACCAGCTTTAGAAATGCAGTGATTATGGCTTTTGACTAATAATTGATTTGAGGCTGTAAGTCATATACAAAAATAAATAAATAAATACTTGACACATTGACACATGACTCCATGACCACTTTAACTGAAAGGCATGTAGCCCTTGCCCCAATAACTGAAATATAAAACATACAAAATGTACCAATTTAACAGTCCTAAGTCTTGTATACACTGAGATTGAACATTTACTACAGTCATGTCAATAGTATCAAACACTAACTTTCACTTTATACTTGAAAACTGAGGAAGCGATGGAATTCCACTGCACAGCGTGATAGCAATATATAAGTATTACGACATACTGCTACAGTCAAATCCCATTGGATTAGTCAAATAGACAGTCAGATGCAAACACAGAAAGAATCTTACTTTTCTCTTTGAAAAGGCTTCTCCTTTTGGTGGCAATAATCATGATAAACATGACGAGCAAAATCACAGCCAGAGGTACAGCCATTTTCAAGATTTCAGCTGAAAAACACAATCAAGTCTATGTTAAATGCCCTTTTGGAATAATGAATTGCCCCCTTTTGACATGCATTTCTAAATGCAAATATTTCTTGAATATGTTGAGAATATGGTAATGATATTAGCTAAAATGGGCAAAAGATTCTGGCCAATCAATGTAATCTTACAAATGTCAGGATTTCAAAATAAAGGTGAGTGGCAGTTGGTTTGTCTGGAGGAGATTTGTGGAAATTTGTCTCATTTTTGTGATAGAAATAAACTACTTCACTGTGGGTGTTTAGTTATATTCAGTAATTAGTGAGGAAACAACAATTATTTTTTATCATTGTCATACCTGCAGGATAAGTGTAGGTGTGTGGAGGCTCTTCTGACTCTGGGGTCCAAATAATGTTGCTATTGCAGAGGTCTGTGTTGCACACACACCGGAGGAAGCGATTGTTGAAGTGTGAATGGGTTTCGCAGACTGAACTTGGGCAGGATTTTTCAACACTATCACAAGCTGCAACAGATAGATCAGTGGCACAATACACACAATTTAGAGGTTCTCGTTAGAGCGCCAACATCTCACACCACAACAAATGGGACACACTTCCTCTCCCCCTTCACAGTTTGTTTACAACCAGAAAAGTTGTGTACATGAGAGCCAACAAAATATGAATACAACCATCGGCCCACATTTGAACTGTTAAATACTTTGTAAATTATGGCTGTAACAAGTTGTTGTCTTCACTGGACCAGCACGCTCTCACTCTGCTTGTGTCTGTTCCACTCCGCTCCGTCAGTGTCTGTTTCCACGCACGGAGCAAACCCATGTATGGAAACAGACATAAATGGAGCAGAGTGGAGCAAACATAGACGATAAAGAGAAGCAGAGGAGAGTGAACAAGAGCTACAAAACAGCAGTACAGAATCTCACATTGAGCTGAAGTTGAACAACTGCACATGAACTAAGTAAATAACATAAATACAATACTTTGCTTTTTGAGGCACCTGCTTGAACGTTCTGCACTGCACTCTCGTTTTAATAGTGCAGTGTTGGATTTCATTCCATGTCTTTATAAATGCGCTGCGCACCAGAGAGGGAATCACATGCACACTAAAGTACACACCTGTAGGACAGAGAAGCTTAGATTAAAGCCCACACAGAGGGAGCGTTGATTATGCTATGGATGTCTTTACTCCACAACAGTTTGCTGTTTTCTGCTGTATCAACGCCATAATCATATTCAAAATCTCACATGTTGCAACTTAAAAGATAAAAAATAGCTTATGAGAAACTAGCCAAGACCTTCAAGCAACACGGTTTACATATTAAACATTACAGAAACTGATATTGATCAGTTTATATTGCTTGGAGGCTAAATTAGATTTGAAATACTTTGATAAAAATGTTTAATGGTGAAATGGCACAATGACTATCCAGCGTGTAGGTCTGACACTGCTGCAGATATTACGGTTTCTTACCAAGATAATCAACCTTTGGCTGGCCGTTCATGATCACATAATATCCCACACAGCAGTGGGTGTTCTCACAGAGCTGTATTGATCCATTCACATTTCTAGCAGCAGCGTATTTGTCATAGTTCGGTGACGTCACTTGAAAAACACATCTCCGTAACGAAGACGAGCTGGAAATGCATAGACAGATGCATTCTGTGAAGAGGAAGAAAGACAAATACTGTATGATTATAATGCTTATTAGCTGAGTCAATTCTAATAAAGGTTCTATTGTGGGATTTTTGAATAGTGAATTGTGCATCATGATTTTGTCACACGAGTCTCAATCACCTATAAACACCACTGCACTCCTTCCTAATTAATAACAGCAAATTACAAGACTTAATAATACACAATCCATAGAAGAATTTCCTCAACACAGTAGCCTATTTACAGCACATACTCTGGTAGCATCACCAGCTCTTAAGCATAAATGTATGCATATATTTATTGACCTATGTAGCCAAGCAAGAAGTCAAGTCAAGAAAGCCCACAAAACACACACACACATACACACAAAAACAGATTTGTTCTAATGTTGTTAAATTATTGATAATAAGAGTTACACTGTGGGCACCAACATCAGGGGCACTGAATATTTGTTTACATTTAGAACAGTGACATTTACAGATTTAATTTAACAGTTCCTTAGTGCTGTCTACCGCTGGGTGTACATACAGCTGTCACTGGAATAATATAATACTCAGGAAATCTTAAAAACCAGAGGATTCTCGGGCACATTTGGAACTGTGCCCATTCCTGGCTCACAATACACATACAGTGAGGTACCCAGTGCAAATTGAGCCTCGTTTCTACTAATTGGGCAGGAATACGAACAACTCATAAGTGCGATTCAGTTTTTACAGTTTCTTCGGTATGAGAGTAATTCAGTCGGTGCTTCAGCAACACGACTACAAACAGCAATCAAATTGCAAATTAAGAAGAAAATAATTCATCAAAGATTTGCCTTGAAAAGAAACCTAACATATACACATGCAGCTTAATTACTTTGACAGATTGAACGTTTTTTTAATTCTTGTTTTCTTTCCTTTTTCGAACAGTGTACTCACCCACAGCCAAAACCAGCCGCCAGTGTTGCAGGATCATGGTCACTCTGAGCCCACTGTGGCCAAGCAGGGAGTGAGTTATCAATCCTGGGAATGTGAGAGGAGTTTCCCACGTTTGCCTGCATCACTCCCACTGACACACACCTGCATATTGTATCCTTGCATGTGCACACTTGTGTTGTCTTCAGTGGCTATCCTATACTCTGAGAAGCCCGAGGTGAAAAAAAAAAAAAAAAAAAAGCTCCTCAAGGCCCCCATAAAAAGGCATTCAGTTAGCTCAATCGTTTATTAGTAATTTGGACCAATCAGCTCTTTCAACAGCACAGAAGATGAGATGCTGTGATGTATTAAAGGGGGAAAACAGTTCATCCACAACACCGTATTGCACAATGATAAGCCAAATAAATAATCTGCCAACAAAATATTTTTGTTAGATTACTTATGGTTTCCCAAACCCTAGCAATTCTTTACATGTCTAATAATAATTTAACCAAATACAGCAACTTATGGTACTACAAAATGTACTTTCTTTGCCATTTGAGTTAGTTGTTGCCCTATTTTTGGTAGTTGCTATCATCATTATCATCATAGTCAGCATCCATGCACACAGTGTCTACTGCATGATGTGCAAAATGGAAAAAATGTTTGAAATTTAAAACGCATTTAATATTTTTGACTTAAGTAAATCACACTTAAAATAACTCGAACTGAGGACAGCCATGATGTAACAAATGACTGAACAGCAGCTGATAAACTGTGACTATGTGAATGACAGCTCAGCAGTCGGAGGTGAAAGTGAAGGATTTCAGTTAGATCTGTCCAGTCCTGTACTCGTGTCAGACATAACCTATAATTGTAAGTAATGAATGATGCCATGTGCATAAATACATGCCTTTCTCTTGCTTTGGACACACTGATATGGCCCCTGCTGTTGTTTGATGCTGCAGGTATTTATCAAACTCAGAGAAAAAAAACTCCTACAAAGAGATGGAAGTAACAAACTAAGCGTCAGCTCCTGTTCTTTTTTTTTTTTTTTTTAAACCCATATTTATCATTAGTCAATGTCTAATCTGAACTGTTGCATTTATATGGACATTTCAGTTTGTAATAAATGCAAAACTGCAGAACAGATGAGATAAAACTTCATTTCAGACAGGACACTTCATCAGATTCAACCATTTATTTCAGAATAACTTGCGTTTGGCCGTAACTCTCTGAAACAATCCCAACACAAACAGTCCATGAGATCACAAAAACCCCCTGACAGAGCCTGGGATTCACAATGTTTGAATGAACACACGATGAACATGGAAACAAGAGGACCCACTTAAATGGTGCTCATTATATAAAAGCCAGTTTACACAGTTTTAAATGTGTTGTTTCTTAAATGAAACCTGACTTCAGAAATATAGGTTTAAGAGTCAAGAAGTGCCGGAGTTGAACAGATATTGAACCAGATTATGATTGGACTTGGTTGGTTTGGTCAAATGTTGGCAAGGCAGGGTGCAGGGAGAAACGAAGCGCAGATGTGACTGAGGAGCAGTCTTAATATTGTTGACTGATACTTCATCATCGCACGACACAATGATGTTTCCTCTACAATTTATTTTCCCACAGGACGGGGAATAGATTCCAACAGAGCAGTAAGCTGGAAGCGAGCAGGCCAAGGGTGGAAGCCCCTTCTGCAAAACATCCGTAAATAAAGAAGACCCCAAAACCTGCTAAGGCAGCAGCGTCACATAAGAACCTTGAATTGACCAATGATTGTAGTGTGCCGTAAAAGAAGGTTATGCTGTTCCAGAGTCTGTGTAACGGTGAACCACTGGGAATCTGATCATGAGTCTTCATGTCAAGATGACGAGAATGCTCATCTACTGCAATCCAGAGACAAAGTCAAGTCGCAAATAATATGACATGCTTAAAACAAGAGCCATTGTGCCTTTCCAGTAAAGAAATATGATTGGAAGTGTGAACTACGTACCTAGTGTAAGTATATTCATTGAGTCCCTATTACTATGGTGTGAATTTCCCACAGTAAAAGTAATGGTTTAAGCCTCTCGAACATATATTAACCTGTCCATAATACTCAGTAAAAAGGGAGACCCTGTGGTATTAATTATGGACATCAACCACGTAATTTATTATAGCTAAGACACCAAGGTATTATAAAATGTGACAGTTTAGCTGATAAGCCAAAGATCAACTTTACTATGCCAGACTAACACAAGTTTTATCTATGAGCTTCGAACTCTACCTTAAACACAGTCATTGTAATATTCTACGATGGCCTTGAATCATGATCTTGAATGTAACCAGTGGCACCCGGGGGTCCCCCGCTATCTGCCTCTGATTGGGACAGGAAGCAGCAAAGTGAGTTAGGTGAGTGGGGAGGTGTTGATCGTTTTATGTGGGAGATCAGAGAAGACACAAGGCCTCAGTTGTCGTGATTTGTTGGATGTTTAAGGGGTAGCCTGTTCCACAAAAGTTAAGGTTCTTTTAACAGCTGTATGTTTTTGGATATTGCAGTGTGGCCGTACAGCTTTAATTGGGAGTTTGATTTCATTTAATCGTTAATTTTGTGTCTATTGTTTGTGCTTTTTAGAGTGACTGTTCAGCTTGTTGTGCACCATTTCCTGCTGTCGTTTTTGGTTTTGTTTGTCAGATTGGTTTGTTGCTGTGACCTCACTGTGGTGGGCGGACACAGTGGACTTGAACCTGTATATATATAAGTAGGTTTTAGAGCTGCATGTAGATGTTTGCTCTACATATGTAGAGTCAGGCCAGCCCCTATTCACAGTTTTAAGCTAAATTAACTATGTCCTCACCGCAGATATGTCTGTCTATTTAATAGACAGACGTGAGACACTACTATATTCTTTGGGAAGTTATAGACTGGCATATAGAATAAAACAGCAATCACACAGACCTTGTTGTTGATACATTTCAAATCCAGGAGTGAAGGCAATTTTTGAGAAAACTTTATGACATTTAGTGAATAGATGCTCACTTCTCACACATGCTGAACCCTAGCGTTGTTACTCAGAGTCAGGAAGAGATGCATCACGGTGTGAAGAGGTCTCGAGGATTGAGGTTGGCAACAAGACAGACGTCATAGCTGTCGTGCATGGCTGCTCGTCTTTCCACCACCGTCCACACATTGTCCGCAGGGTCCAATTCCAAAATCTCCTTGGTGATGATCTCATGACGGCCTGCAGCCACAAGACAAAGCATGTAAGTGATGGCTAGCCAAAATCTAATTTCCAGAGACACTGCCTCTTCAGTTAGTTAGGATTCCTTAACTCTGACAATGGAAAGTCTGCCTTTGGTTTGTGCAACAGGAGGAAATGTAGCCAGCAAATGCCATTTACCCTCAAGTCAGTCTGGTAGAAATGTGCACATCAAAAAACTGAAAAAAAAAAGACATTCACAGGTGTTAGGTGACTGACCGGCCCCCTTGTAGTATCCACAGAGGTAAAGCTTTCCCTCCACTACTCCTAGGTTGGAGGCGTTAGTTCGAAGGGCGAGCAGGGATGTTGGGAGGGTTGGTCCATCCCTCCAGGTGTCTGTATCTGGATTGTAGATCTCTACAGAGCTCAGACAGCGCCGTGATTGTCCACGGTCCTCTCCATCACAGCCTATACCACCTGAAATGAGGCACAGATAACCTTGTTCAAATGCATAAAACTTAAAAAGTACAGTAGTACTAGACAGTAATGCAGTGTTGTAGTCTGACCTAATATGTAGATTTCTCCATTGAGGACAGCTGTGCCACAGCGGTACCTAGAGTGCTTCATCCTGGTACACTCTGTCCACCTGTCTTTGCCAGGGTCAAACTGAAACACACGGTTACTCAGCTTGTCAGGCTCATCATCTGGCAGATCCTAGAGGATGAGAGGAAAGATTAAGGCAGAGAGAGGAAGAAAAAGACAAGAAAATGGGGTGATAAGTGAGAACTGAAAAGCAGAAATGGAAAAAAAAAAAAGGGGGATGGAAAAGAAGCAAATGTTTTCACTTTCTCACTTTAAATCACAGAAAAGATTCACTGCCACTAAATTGTATACATTTCACATTTATTTTGATGGTATGAAGTCTTGTTGGAAATAACTGAAGAAGCTGCAGTGTCATCCCTTTCATCTCATAGTGCTTTTTTTTTTTTTTTTTTTACAAATATTTTGGGATGTTACCAATAGAGGGTGCCAAAGTTCTGAATATGCATATTGTACACATTGTGAATTTTTTTTTAAACCCTCAAAACATGGCTTCACATTGTAAGTGTTCCTCCATATTATGAAATGTTTCTGAAGAAATATGCAATGCTCAAATTAAAGTTTAGTAAAAAAAAAAAAAAAAAAAATTCCCAAATTTGTGAGTGAAAAATTGTGATATCAAGTTTCTCCAGTTGAGTTTTTCCAATGCAATCTAACCAGAAAAGCAAAAACAACAGCTACAATGTTGTTCATGTGGGAGCCAAGTGCGTGAAAAGGAGCTTTTATGTACACTTCCCTACCCTGCATTTACGACTGACTGCAAAAATTCACTGACAGGTCTGTCGGTACCTGTGGTGTCCAGCCACCCAGCACATAGAGATGCTCCTTTAGGCTCACGGCACAGTGGCAGGCTAAAGGAAGTGGCAGAGGAGCAAAGCTTAGCCAGCTCCCTCCTCTCTTCAGCGACCATCTCTCCACACTGTCTGTGATTATGTAGTGATTGCGCACTTTCATCTGGCCACCTATTAAATAGAGGGCGTCGCCTACCAGCCCTAAAGCGTACATGTCCCTGTATGCAGCTGAGCACAACTCCACCCAGCTGTTCTCCTCTGAATTATCGTACCTGGAACACAAACAGGCGGTTCAGATTTCCAATGCCATTCACAAATCTGGATTTTGCATGCACTACCCCACACCCACCTGTAGAAATCAACCTTTTTGATTCTGTGTTGGTCTTCTGCTTCAATGGCCACCACTATATTATTCTCTCTGGTCACTGCTCCTGCTATGATCTGTCCCATACCTCCACAGGCCCTCAGTGGAGAGGGGATGTAGTAAATCTTTCTACCGTGGGCGGCAAAGCAAAAACTGAGATCAGCAACTCCTCCACGTCGGGCAGGCACTCCCTCCTTGTTTATTCCACCCAAACAGAGCAGCAGGTCAGTTGTCTCCATGCCATAGCGAAGAGCTGGGCGAGGTGGAGCTGATGTCTCACAGAGACCTGAGGTGTGGAGAGCAGCATCAATCATCCCAAAGCATTCAGCATCCCGTAGCAGCACCTGGGAGATTCATTTATAAGCATGAAAGTCAATCAGTCTACTTATCTCATTATACACGTTGATGAGGAGTCTTGTCTTATGCCTTGGTCCTCCCCTCCCGTCCCTTCTCACCGGGTTTCTCCTCCTTGCTTTGCGGAGAAATCCAGGTTCCACAAGCTCCAGCCGTACACGCCTGAGTAACTGCACGGCCTGGGCTTCGCTTTGTGAGTCACCCCTGCGCCTCTCCACCCAACGCAGCACCAACTCCAGCACAGCCTCCTCCTGCGATATGTTGAGGTCATCCGAGCTCAGCAGATCGCCAAGACTCTGGGCGTCCAGCTCCAGCACTTCTTCTTCCTCACAAACCTAGAGAGCAAGATTAAAGGAAAAGAAAAAAACAATGGCAATCATATCAAAATAGAAAAAAATAATTTAGTGGATGGTAGCCAAGATTGTTGAGGAGAAAAATTGCGCAAAACAGATCCAGAGGTTTCTGTCACCTAAAGGCAGTGCTAAGAAGTTGAGTAAGAGGAGTAAGAGAGAGCAGTGTGACATTCAAGCGTCACTGTAACAAAGAGCATCATGGAAGATCATCTTTTATGGAAATTTAAAGCAGGCTAATACTAAGGGGCTTATATAAGGAGCTCCCCTTCCTTTTCTTGTCTATATAAACATACCAAGCAGGTATTTTTCATTAATCATATTCAGGACATACGTTGTTTTCAGACATCATAACATGTTTTATCTTTAAACATGGAACCATTTTTGATGCTTCGAGTTAAAAAAATATTTTACACATATGATACTAAATGTGGGCTACAAGGTGGATCGGTGGTTAGCATGGTTGCCTCACAGCAAGAAGGTCGCCGGTTCACATCCCGGTGAAGACACCCGGGATCTTTCTGCATGTTCACCCTGTGCAGGCTCTCTGGCTTTCTCCCATAGTTCAACAACATGTTGAGGTTAATTGGTGATTCTAAATTGTCCGTAGGTGTGAATGTGAGTGTGCTTGGTTGTCTGTCTCTAAGTGTAGCCTGGTGACCTGTCCAGGGTGTCCCCTGCCTTCAACCTGAGTCAGATGGGACAGACTCCAGCCCCCCACTACCCTAGTGAGGATTAAGCGGCGTATAGATAATGGATAATACTAAATGCCTCACCCGCGCAAAGTGCTGGTAGAGGTATTTCAAGGCACCGTCCGCCAGAATAGTTGCCCCCAGGTCTCTGGCCCAGTGGTACAGACCGATGCAGTTCGACGGGTCCATGCGGGCCTCCATGTGGTTTTGACACAACCTTAACACATTAACAAAAAAGAGATGATGTGAGCAAAATAGTAGTAACAATAATTAACACCCCATGCTCCAGGTTCTTCGCCCACCTAAAGGCTCCATCTATGTGCAGCAGGAAGGCAGCAGCAGCCACTGCCTGGATGTTGTTGTTGGAAAGTGGGAGCTCAGCCTTGTACATGTAGTCCAGCAGCAGCTCCAGGCTCTGGGCAGGAATGTCTCTGAGAGGCACTTCTCCTCCTCGGGTCTCTCTCAGACCGCATGTAAACATGGCCTGGACACAATGATTTATCAAAAAAAAACAATGCAACATGATACAATCACAGTATCATAACATCATCTACACACTTGCTTGTAGCAATTCTGCAAAAAAAATTTTTAAAAATCAGGTTGCGTCATTGTCCTCAGTATGTTCACAGTGCATCGCCACTTTACCTGGAAATATGGACTGAATGCAGACAGCACCACCTTGTGGCAATGAAAAGGAATCCCTTCTGCCAACAGCACCACATCGGTGAGCTCCTCGGCTGCTCTCATCCTCTGAAGCTGCCTGAGCAGAAGTGAGCCGTGTTCTGCATGAGCAGCGTGCAGCAACTCAACATCCATGGACTCTTGTTCTGGACGTCTGAACCACTTATGTGAGCGCAGAGAGGAAGACCTTGTGACAGAGTTGTGCCAAACACATCTAAGAAAAAATTGTGAGAGGCCATCAGGAGAGCCAGACACATTTGTAAATGTACCTGGCAACTTTCTGCCAGTGCACTTGTGCTGCTTGATCAAGCGAATACATGTCAGTAATGTTCACTATATTTCTAGCTTATTGCTTTTGATTTACATCAGACAGAACATGTTGTCGGGCCAAACAAAAATCCAGATTTGAAATTCGTTTGATTGTGAGATTTATTATGGTATAATATCATGCAAAACTCACAGTGAGGTGACATCTAAACACTCTGGCTTCCATTTCAGACTTGTTTTGCAGTCTTTGTGTAATTTGCAATTTGAGCTCAAACCTCCACTGAATTGTAATTTGAATAAAATTACAAATCAAACACCCCAAATGAAATCCTGCATGACAAGAAAAAATGTGTTCCTAAGTGAAGACTGAAGGCTGAAGGACTGTCATTATCTCCAATGTGCTGGATCCACGCACAAAACACATTTGGCTCCACTTTCTGTTTCTTCCAGTTGAGTTAATGAATCACTGCCGGGTGTTTTGCACGAGTGACTTCACCCATAACAATTGCTGTAGTCACCATTTTATGAACACACGAAATGTGCAAAACATTGTGGACACCTGGATGTTTCCCGAAGTTACACAAGTGAAGGATTGAAAGTAAAATTAATTGGGTCCATCTAGATTAGTGGATTGCGAAAGGCCAGCATTGACAAAATGTGTCTAGTATTTTGTATTATTTAATTGCAGGTCAACACATCACATACTTTAAAGAATTGTAACTAATGCCAAACAACGGAATGGAGCCTCGCAGACTGTTTATTTGTTGTCTGGAGGGATATTGGCCCACACACGTGTATGAAATCGATCATGATACGAAAGCTAAACATGCCCAGGTCACCTGCCAGACATGCACAGGCAGTGCACAGAATGAGCCATAGCATGTTAGCATGACTTAAGCTAAGCACATGCAGAAAAACAGGTATCATACCAGTAGTGTCCAAAGATTATCCCAGGTCAAGATTTAGAAGGTTCTGAGTCAATATTACGTCTCATAGCTTGAACTACAACACAGATCTGCCTTGTGTTCTGTGCTATTTACCGACAGGGAGTAGGGGCAATTGCACACTCACTAGTTAAAAAAAAAAAAAAAAGAAAGTTTAAAATAGACCAGCAAGTGCCTGTGGAGCCGTTGGTCTGTTCAGGTTTCTAGAAGTTGCCTTTCAGTCAGAGCTTACTCTTGTTTAAACAGTGTTCCACAATGCTATCTTCCAAAACTGCATGCAATTTTTTTTTTCTGACATGAAGGTACAGATTTCCTTCACAAGCTAAAAGAATTAGTAGCACAATAGTAACAAGTGGTTGACATTTAATTCTCCAGACATGAAGGGGGAAAAGCATTTCACAGTTTGATGTCAATGTCAGGGGATGTTTTATATATAGAAGCTCGAGTTGTTTATTCTGGACTGAAGTTGGACAATTAGAAGGAATTGTAATAATAGGCAGAAGGTATTTTCTGTCAGTTTATCCTTTAGTTGGGTTCTCCAAAGGCCTCTGCATAGCCATATAAACTTGGAAAATAATATTTACTTGTCTATGAGTTCTTATTAGTTCCACAAATGACCAAATCCCTGCTTCAGGTGCAAAGAGGTTAAAAGAAACATCAGCAAAGACAGCAACAATTAGAGAAAAATCTAAAGAAATCTAAATTATTTTGCAGAATGGTATTGTTTTCTTCTGTCCTATTCTGTTGTCCACCACTTGGCCTCCAGGGAATCTATGAAATCTGACTCCTACACTGGGAGACACTGGATTAATCTACCTAAATATAAAGGAGTTAAAAATAGGTCCAACTCCACAAGCAATTGAGAGATCAGGATTAATGATCTAATAATGTCCACATCAGGTTTAAGTATCTCCTCCAGGGATCATTTTCAAAATACAGTAACATTTAAAAGTTTGGGTCGGCTTATTCAAAGGTTTTTATTTTATTTTTTTCATTTTTCTTATTTCCTAAATTCTGCAATAGTACTGAAGACATTTAAACTTGTCTTTGCATTTGAACCATGACTTGCGTTTTGCCAAAGAAACACAGCAAATAGCCTTATTCAGCTAATGTAGTAGTCCATGTTTCGACACCCATCTCCGAGGTCCCCGAGGACTCGACCTTGGTCATTTTTTACATCAAAAAATAAAAGTTGAAGCTTAATGCAACTGGCCCAAAAAGACAAAAATAACAACGAAAAAATTAGCAGCTCCTCCAATTCACATGCATAATGTAGTTTAGACTTGCTGTGTGGTGTCTGTTAGAAGGCAGCCCCTTGCAACATCAGCACTTCCACTAATCTCTAAGCAAACACCTGCAGAGAGGCGATAGCAGCAGCAGCAGCCCTGCAAACTATCAGGCAGCATACAATTTGTTAAGACAAAGCAGTAGCTGTTATGCCATCAAGTGCAAGAAATAAACAGTGTAAAACGTGTTACGTATGTGTACGCTGGGCCATTTATTTCATATTGGCCCGAGATTAGCTAATGTTTCACACAACAGCAACATCCTGAATTAAAATGCAGCTCATGAGGGGGCAGTATCAATAATAGCTCAATTTAAAGTCAAATTTGAGCTTGAGTATAAGATTGTATAGATTGCTAAGATTGAAAACAGCCTCAACTGTTGTGCTTTGTATGGAGGAGACACCATGATCCACCATCACTTTAAGACTTCAATCTGGAGAAAAAATCAAGAACTTTGAAAGTTTCTCCAAGTGTAGTCACAAAAACATTATAATGAAACAGGCTTTGATTAGTTACGAGCCTCAGAAATCACCAATTTCAGGCAGCAGGCTCATGAATGAGGCCTGAATGGCCAAGTTGCTGCAAGGACGCCACAACTGAAGCACGTTAGTTGTAAACGGAGCATTGCTTGGGTGAAGAAACACAAGGAATGGTCAGTAGACTTTGTTCTGATAAGACCCTAATTTGAGATGTTTTAGTTCCAGCTGGTGTGTCTGTCAGGGTGTTTACTGGTGACAGTGTTGGTCTTCTAGCTCGTGCAACATTCTGGCACCACGACATTATGGCATCACATCTGGTTTGTGCATAGTAGAACCATCAATAGATTTTATAGCAGGAAAATGGCACAAAACACATCTTCAGACTCTATAATGGCCATCTGACCAAGAAGGAGAATATGATTTGATGATGAGCTGGACGGCAGAATGACGGCAAAGCAGCCAACAGGTGCTCAGCATATGAGGGAACGTCTTTAAATCTGTTGGAATACGGTTCCAGGTGACGAAATAAGTCCAAATGAAGATGAATAAAAATAACAATGTTTAATATGTCTTCACTTTAACATGTCATTTCTTGGATTTTGTTTCATGTCTGTAAAATAAAAGGATAAATTAGATCAAGCGATATTAAAACAGTGCACATATTATCCATGTGTGTAAATGCATGCACGCAAACTCATGCACACACGTGTATACCACCGTACAAAAAAACAATAAAAACAACAGCATGTGGATGGGCCGGCTGGCACAGTCAGCACGTGGCTCACAGCATCAGTGAGACACCGCATTAATCAGAGCCTGTTGTAAACTCTGCTTTATTGGCCAATATTTCTACACGCCTGAGGGTACAGTAGTCTTAAAAGCAGATTTTATGGTCATATTCAGCAGCGGTTTGCTACCGACTGTGACTGAGTGGCTCCATGCGTCTCTGCTTAAATTGCTGCTGATGGAAGTGACAAACTTCTGGTGGTACAAAGTCAAACATTCACAAAAACACGTACTCATAGCACACTTTGTTCATTTCATAGACTTCGTCACAAGTCCAAAAATGTGGCATGAGGGTGGAGGAGGTGTCTGCTTCCTGGAACAGGCTGTTGGAGGTGACATAAATTTACACGCAGTATTATTTCAGGCTTATTGTTCCCTTGCAGTATTTTCACGCACAGTTGAGCGCACGACATTATGCAACAGCAGGAGCAAAGTGTATAGACAGTTCACCGTTTATGGACAGTGCAGATTAATCAGTGACACCGGACCTGAATGCGAATACACCAGCTCGTCTCTATATAACAAACGTGTGCACGTGCCGGTAGCACTCTGCCAGCTCTGATCCCAGCACTTCAGCAGGACCTTGGGAAGGCCTCAGTTTACATGCATGAAACTGAATGTATTTAGGATTTAAAATTACTGGGAAAAAAAAAAAAAGTCTAACTTGAGTTTGACAATACCATATAGATCATTTGCTGAAGTTTTGACAACAACTAGGAAGACGTCCATGACATCCCGTCGAAGTGCAGCGCTTAAGAGTCCTCATAAGATCAAACTGGAATCATTTTGCTGATCCTCTGACTGGATTACTTTGCTAAAATAAGATGGTGATGACTGCACAGCGTTCACTTATATCCCCTTTTTGCTCTTCCTATATCACGCTGCAAAACTTGTGAATGGGAAGTGCTCAGTGAATCATAATTGTTTTGTTGCTTGCTCTATTATCATCATAAAGTCAAGCCGTTCCAAAGTTTCCATTCATATAAACCAATTTAAGAAACTAGGTCAGGAAAACAAGCGACTTCCCGACCACGAGGAAATCTACAACCCTAATAGGTTATTTCTTAACACGTAACCCACATAACACTTCACCTCTTCATCCCGAGCAGTTAAATGATTTATCTGGCTATTTACCTTTTGATAAGAGTTTATACAAGCAAAGAGGTGTGCAGGGGAATACAGAGGTAATGCACACATCAATCACAAGGTAACGGTGAGTTTATTTCATGAATATTTGTCTTTGCTCAACCCAGTTATTCAGTTTGTTATTCCTTGCTACTTTTATGACCCCTTTGTGCGTCTCTATTTTTAACAAATGTTACGGCATTCGGATCAACAAATACTTTCAGGATAGAAAGGATTTTGAACATCTGTCTTTATAAGAAATGACCTTGATCGTTTTTATAAAACATTTGACACACATGAACACACAAACAAACTCATATGAATAAAGCTATGACATGCAGTTTCTGTAGAACGAAGGAAGTTTCTGTCCTCTCACCTCAAGTGTTAAACGCTTGCTCACCCTGACTCTGGTTCTTTTGGGGAGTTTTTCAATTTGAAAAACGAACAAACAAAGAAAAAAAACACACACACATTCGTGCACAAATTTGTGTTTTGAAGAAAACATGCAAGACTGAGCCTTATAATAACGCGGTGTCCTTACTGTCACAAAAACCACTAAGCTCGGCTGACACCTCTCAGTTTTCTACAAATCTGACTTCCCTGCAAACAGAGGAATTCAGATAAGGTGATGGGAAAATGGTGCAAACTTTGACCAAAAAGATATAATCTAAGCATGCTCAGTTTCTTTCAACAGGATTTATAAAAGTGGATCGTGTTCAATAAGGTTAAAGGCAAACAAAAAAAACCTACTCATCAAAATGTGTTTGGATCCAATGTGAATCTTAACTCAAATTTTAGTAATAATGTACTCATTCATGTCTGGTTACGTATATGTTTGTGTAAATTAGGGCTCTCACAGTTTTCACGAGTTACCCTTTCAGTTGCGCTTGGTCATCAAAATGTTTTGACAAATTTCCATGTGTGTGACAGGGACCAGGGTTAATATGTGAACATTAATATGTGAATGTTACATCCAACACTCATCTATTGCTGTTAGGTATTTCAGCAATGTCCTCTTCTGAGTTTCTTTACATATGCTGTGGACTCGTTGAAGCGATTGTTTTGCCGGTGATCACTAGATAACACAAAAACCTGAGGATTCTTTTCCTGACACTAAATTTTAGGTGGCGACAAGTAGCTTTCAGTATTTAAAGCTCTTGGAAAGGCGTTCTGAACAGTGGTGCTGCTGAAGTGAAGCATGGAATTACTGTATAAAACAGAGGGTTACAACTAAATTGCTTCAACTTCCTCACCAGTGAAAACATAATCACTAAAACATTAACACTTGAAAACATCTACACTGCAGTAAATGTCCTGCCGATCACATTTCACAGATATTCTGTGCAGGCTGCATTCGAGGAAAACATTGGTGCTAAAAATGAAAGGCAACTAGGACAGTTTCTCTCCGATGGGAAGCAAACATGCCAGTAGTGAGTGTGTTACTTTTTCAAAAAGAAAAACAGAAAGTCTTTTTTTTTTTTTTTTTAAATCAGAGTTTGACTTTTGTCACACACAGATTACAACACAGTACATTTCTTCTGCCACATATCCCATCTTGTCAGGAAGTCGAGGTCAGAGCACAGGGTTGGCCGTGATGCCGCAGCCCTGGAGCTGATAAGGTTAAGGGCCTTGCTGAAGGGTCAGAAGGGGCAGCTTGGCCTTGCCGGGCCTTGAGCTGCACCACAGCACCTGGTTAAACCTACTCGTCTCAAACGTTATAGCGTACTGATCCCCGTCTCACAAAGTGTGTGTAGCAAGATAAACCCCAATCAATAATGAAAGTCCTTTTGACAAAGACCCTATTAAACATTAACCAGCTCAACATTAACATCACAAAGATGATTCGAAGGAGCCCCGTCAGCAGTGTGATGGATGAGTTTGTACTATAAGTTCACCTGGTTCAAACGGCCATTTATTGAATATGTTTCGATGCTGACGTGACGCCTTGGAACCTCTTCAATATAAAAGGCATAAACACATATTGTGTATGAAAGCACATCTGTGAGGTTTGAAGTAGTTTTGAAAATGACAATGCATTAATCAACTTATTTTACCCCCTTGTTTTGTTTCTCATTCCTACAAACTTTTATTTATATAGCACTTTTCTTAACAAGGCAATAAAGTTCTTAACAGAAAGGGAAACAAGAATCAGACAACATCATTTAAAATCAAACAAAAAACAACAGTGATCCTAAAACAGAGGGGAATAAGGTCATACGTACAAAATAACCTGTCACCAGTGGGATGACAAAGTGCATTTCTAAAAGCATTCCAGTGAATCAGATGGAATTCAAAGGGCATCAAAGATTCTGCTAATCTTGTTAGTCAAATATACAATACGATGTGGCGTGGTCTCCTTATTCACAGAAGACAAGAAAACCAAACATTGATGCCGCGCAGACGCTGGTTAAATAGTAAAGACACATGTATGAGATATAGCAGATTTTAGTAAAGGAAACATGTTCAAATTAAAGTCTATAAAAACATAAGTTGTTGTAGAAATCTTAAATAGAGCATCAAAATCTGTTGGTCACCTGTTGGTCGTCGTCGGGGGGGGAAAGTTTTAATGCTTAGGATTTTTTATTCTAATTATTTTTTTGGACCATGAAGTTACATAAAACTCAGTGTACATTTCCAGAAGCACAGAATGTTACAGCTTTTCTGCTGACAATTAACACTGTGTTACTTTTTCACCTGAGTAAGGAAAGTCTGGCGGCCATAAAGATAAGGTCTGTCTGTTCCACACGTCTGATGCAAGCATTTGATAAAAGAAAAACTAAGATATAAGCTTCTATCCAGTCACATCCTGCTGAGTGCGTGTTAATGCACATGCATTGCAATATTCAGGATCACATGCAGTGCTACAGTGTCTTGGTGTCAAGTTTACCAGCTGTGCAGTTTTTGAGCATTTACTGAAGCATAGCCTTTCAGATGATTTTCACCAAGTTAATCACTGTCGGCTAACGCACATGCTTGTACACACATTAGCTCAGGTGTGTGTGAGCAGAACAGGGACTTGTGGGATGGTTGTTGTTCTCTTATAAGGCCAGGAAAGGAACAGTCACTCCCACAGTCCAAAAACAGCTGTAGTAACAAGCACTGTCAGTCAGCATCGACCAGTGAGGAGGCTTCACTCTCACTACACAGTGGTGACACCTGTAACTATCTCTTCTATTCCCGAGGACCCTCAGACAGAAAGCAGGGACTCAAAAAGACACCAGCTTCGCAGAGGGTCTGCTGAATTTGCTCCACAAGACAAGGACATGGAGGAGATGGAGTATTTTGTGCAGAGGGAGGTTCTGGATGAGTTACGTCTGGATGAAGTGGCACAAAAAGGGACGTGGTCCATTAAACCAACTCTGGGCGAACGGGTGAAAGAGTCCCTGAGGTAAAAATAGAGAGGAGAGGACACAGGGGAGGGAAATGCCAAAGGCAAATCGGACCACTGAAAAACACTGACGCAAACAGACAAAACAGAAAAAACAAAACACTTGTTTTTTTGGTGCCAGTGCATTTTTCTGTGTGATAGCAACTATATATGTGCTTGTCTGTATGTGTGCCTCTAACTGCTCAGTGAACCTTTGAAAAGTTGCTCACAAATAGGCAAATGAGTCATGTTGCATTTGCGTGCAGAGTGTACTTGTGTAGTTGGCTAAGTTCACAGGTTTATATCTCTTGAAGATTTTACAATGGCCTGTAATACATTACATAAGATTCTTAGAAAGCTCTTGAGCATTTACAATAGCACAGCGCATTTTAGGAACATAGATTTTCCATCCAATCAGTGAAATAATCTTGTGACATTTTAGCAGAGGGGGAGAAGTTTCTGAACCTCTTCTTAGAAAAAGAAATTATTCACAGAGGCAGGCATTCTGGCATTTTAATAGTAAACATTTGTTGTGATTGAAGTGAACAGTAATATATCAATCAGTCGGTTTTGTGTGTCACTGTTTTGCAAGGCCAGCTGATAAAACCTGCAGCAGATGTTGCAATTCACACATCTGACGACACTGCATTGCTTATAAAAATGTATTATTATGTATGTTTTACAGTCTCTCTTCAGCTAATTTAATATATATATTGTAATCATAGTGTTTTCTTTTCTTTATCTTGCAAGTAGCATAGATGACTAAAGCCAAAAAAAAAACATTCAGTGAAAACTTGACAGCATTGTTGTGTACCTTACATACTCAGTAGCTCCAATGTTGTGTTTCTCTGGTTGCAGGTGTTCAGTGCCCAGGCTGAAACAAACGCTTCTGAGCTGGATACCTGTTCTTGGCTGGTTACCTCATTACTCTTTCAGAGAAAATGCCATAGGGGACCTGATATCTGGCTGCAGTGTGGGCATCATGCATCTGCCGCAGGGTTTGTATGTATGAATGTGTACACTGACGGGGGCTCACAGAGTTTATCCACACACTTTCAAAGAAAAAATTTTTTTTCAAGAGCTACGTGAGAGGATCGATACCGTAATCACGTCTGTCTGTTAATCATGAAGCTGTGGTTAAATTAGCCAAATGTACAGACACGAACAGACAAGCGAGCAGCAACAGCTCGCTCGGCTCTGTGCGAATGTAAAGACGACAAATTGTGTTTTTTGTGGAGTCACTGCTGCTTCATATTTAATGAACAGACATGAGATTGGTCCACTTATTTCACTTTCATCAATAAAGAGCATATGTTTCCCAAATGTTTTCAACTGCCAAAAATGTGTCTTCCTCAACTGTCATTGAATTAGTTTTGGTCAAGGGACAGGCTTTCTCATACTTCTTTTTCTTCTTTGACCAGGCATGGCGTATGCTCTTCTGGCTTCCTTACGCCCAGTGTTTGGCCTTTATACCTCCCTCTATCCAGTGCTGGTCTACTTCATCTTTGGTACTTCCAGACACATCTCCATAGGTGAGAGGGAAACACACGTGTGGGATTTAAAAGGTGGAAAGCAAAGAAAAACATGTAAAGATGGATAAACAAATTCTTACTTGTGTCTTTTTGCATGAATGTGTGTGTGTGTACATGCTCGTGTGTCCAGGCACGTTTGCTGTGATCAGCATCATGATTGGGAGTGTGACAGAAAGGCTGGCGCCGGACAGCAACTTTATTGTAAATGGGACGAATGGGACAGAAATCGTGAACCTCGACGAAAGGGACGCACACAGAGTGCAGATAGCATGCGCCCTCACATTCTTGGCTGGAATCTTTCAGGTGTGTGTTTTTGTATGTGTGTGAGTCCACTTTGACCGCACTGAAAACTTCCAGTGCCTTTACTGAGCAGTAACCTGCCTTTTGATTAACCTGCGCTCTCTAATTTCCCATCCTAAGATCCTGCTGGGTGTGGTGAGGTTCGGTTTCGTGGTCACCTACCTGTCTGAACCACTTGTTCGTGGCTACACTACAGGATCAGCATGTCACGTGTGTGTCTCCCAGCTAAAGTACCTGTTTGGAGTTTCACCATCTCGCTACGCTGGTCCCCTCTCCCTCATTTATGTGAGTATGTCACATATTATCCAACTCATACTAAAATAGTATTCTGACTTACTTGCACCTCTTCTCTTCCATTTCATGCTACTTCTACAACTCTACATTTTGAGGGCAATAAATTGTGTTTTGTGCTTTAAGATTTTACTTACATTACATTCCTTACAAAACAAGTAATGATCTGTGCATCATTACAAAGCATATTATAGTTAAATTGGCTATACATGCATACCTACTTGTAAATGCATTCCTAATACTTGTTCTTTTTTTGGTTGCCTAACCAAGCAATTTACCAAATATCAAAATTGATATACCATTGATTAAAGTATTAATGCACATTTCACAACTAATTCACTTACAATCAAAGGCCCTGGACAGCCACACAGGAGTTGTCAGTAGCTCCAGCGGATCTCTGCTGATCTGTTTGAAGTTGGGTGGTGCGATGCGCAACGCTACAGGAGGCCATATACTACATATGATAAAGGTGTACTTTCACCCCTCCTAATCTGTGCAACTTTACATACCCACAGAGTCCCAAGATGAAATAACATCATGCAACTTAAATGAATACGCCCATGTGGAGTACAGAATGTGCAGTACCAGATGTGCTTTTAGTTGTTGGGGTTTTTCTTTTGTCAAGTGGGATTGTGTGGATGGATTTTGGCACACGCTGTCAGTATACATTTTCTCCTGCTGCACTCCAGCTAAATGCTACAAGCATGTCTCATATTACACAAAAAGGGAACTATTAGCAGTAGGCTAGTGCTTTGATGTTTCAAAGGTAACTGAACAATGTGCATAAAAGCTGGAGACTTGCAGAAACACCTCTCACAAACTCTGCAAAGATGTGAAATGTGAAAAGGAGACAAGCCAGGTAAAATGATCACGGCAAACACTGGACATTGGAAGAAGGCCTCATAGCTGAAAACAGTATAAATGAACCGAGGGCAAACAAAAACCATGGCAAATATCTTCAGATTCTGATTCCCTGCAGAGCTGTTATCATAACTGATATTTCTACAATTGTGTCCACTTCCTCATCTCAGGGGAAGCAGTGTGGCCATTGCCTTCTTGTTGCTTTTTACAGTATATTTGCATTCATTTTACCTCCAACTGTTATTTCCATCTCCCCTCCACTGTTTCCTTCGCAGACTCTGGTGGACCTTTGCAGACTGCTGCCTCAGACGAAGGTTCCAGAGCTGGTGGTCAGCCTGGTGGCGCTCAGTGTTCTTATTGTGGTCAAAGAAGTCAATGCGTGCTACGCAAAAAAGCTGCCAATGCCTGTTCCAATAGAGCTCATAGTTGTGAGTCCTGCCTTTGCTTTTTCTGCACAAACATTAGGTGTACACATTTATTAATCCAGCAGGGGGCATCTTGACCTCTGTGATCAGAGGAGTAGAGGAACTGTTTGGGACTGCATGTGAGGAAAATAATGATTTACCTCATGTACTCATCCTGAAACACCATGGTTTGTTCTTGTTTTCAACAGATCATAGCAGCTACAATCATTACCCACTTCTGCGGACTTAGTGACAAATACTATATTGATGTGGTTGGAGAAATTCCCAGTGGGTAAGTTCGTCTTTGTATGTTTGTACAGTAAGCAAAAGAGATGGGCTAGGAGGGTGACCCACAGGATACCTGTTAGGGCAAGACTGTTTACTAAAGACCCACATTTCACAGCTGTCAAAAATGCAGAGCTGTTTATAAGACACAAAAACACTCTCTAGGGGGGGAAAAAAAAGAAAGGTCACATTGTGTGTTTGTATGAGTGAGCGTCTATTTAAGCTGGGAAAGTTCCTGTGGTGGAAAAACCCATAAGTGAGCAATGCATCTCCATAGAAGTCATAAAACAGGGAAGTGTAAATTTAGGAAATAATAGTAGATAAATGTCACGTACATACAGTTTCAGAGTGTGTGTGTGTGTGTGTGTGTGTGTGTGTGTGTGTGTGTGTGTGTTTTAATCATTTCATATATGTGTGCCAATGATTAAAACCTAAACCATGCTTCTTCTTCTTTTTTTTCTTTCCCCTGCTACAGGCTCAAGGCTCCTCGTGCTCCAGATGCCACTTTGTTCTCAGAGGTCTTAGGTGATGCCTTTGCTGTGGCCATTGTGGGCTATGCCATCAACATTTCTCTCGGCAAAACATTTGCCCTCAAACACGGCTACAAGGTGGATAGTAACCAGGTGAGAAAAACACACACAGACACTGACACACACACACACTGTGGTACTCACAAACAGCTGATAGAGTTATAATTGGAGTGCCTGTTCTTGTCTGACTCACTGTTAACAGGGGAGAGTAATATTAGACTTTGCCCTCGAGTCACTCACAGTTGGTCATGACACATGTCACATTAGTGGAAACTATTGTTCAGATTGTTCCAGATCAAGCCTCGTCTCGACAGGATCACTTCCACAGACTTGTGCATTTCCGTTCATGATAATTCTAGTGTATTGTTTGTTTTTTTTTATTGTTTTTTTTAAAAAGTCTGTTCAAGTAATTATTGGCATTAATTGCAAAAGCAAAACATTGGTTCATCTCAGATTCAGACTGCAGTCATGGCAGCATGACTGAAGCAAAAACAAAAATGGACTTATGTCATTCTTATCACTAACGTTTTTAAGGCATTTTCTGCAAGTTATTTGCAGTTTTTCACCAGCAATGTTTGTAAAATGTCATTTTATATTCGAGAAGTTTCCACTTGCATATTTGTGTGATCAAAGGAAATACTTTTTTTTCTGATAGCACTTTATGTACCGTCAGTGTGATTATATCCTAGTAGTAACAACAGGCTATAATTGAGTTGTCTAAATTTCTTAAGGAGTTAGCCAAAGATGTGTTTAACTCAGTAATTATACAAATCCATGTTCACCTCAAACTCCTCCCTGTGTCATGTGACAAATTTCAACGTAAATCTGCTCAATAGCAAGCGTGCTTTGCTTTTCGTTAGCCAACTTGCTGTGCATATGGCAAAAATAAATGACATGAGATTATGTGCTACAATAAAATAAAGATACAAGGCGCATGAAACCAGTAGGTTCTGCAGAAAGGTGTGTCGCTCTGTCATGGAGATTCAAAGCTTTCCTTTTTTCATTTGTTCATTGTCTTCTGATTATTCATTCTTTGTGTCCAACCACAGCCAGGGATTGAAGTGCACTGTCTGCCCTTTGCTGCTAAATCAGCCATCAGTTTATAGGAAGTAGGATTAAAAGATAGATGCAAATAACTTCTTACAACCTGCAGTTTTTTTTTCAAGCACATGTAGGCATTAGTATTTTTTATCTCTTATCATTATGTGTAACACAAAGACTTGTTTACACAAACGCACACTGGCAGAGTCATGTGATTGGGACCATGCTGCTCTGTAAAGAGACGGGTTAGGAGCACTCAGAGCCGCAAAGAGCTGGCCTGCTAAAACATTAATGCCCAACAAGCTTTACTCAATCAAGCATCTTAAATATACTGTCCACGGCTCTCCACGTGGCACTGATGTGTGAACCAGGCCATAATAGTAATGAATGCTCTGCTAATTTCCCTGACTTCAAACCTTTTAAACTGAGGTCATGGTATTAATAGAACCAAACGTCTCGATCCATATCAAAGGTCATCTATTTTTCAGCCTATACATGCATGATATTAAGTTTAACTAAAATGCTATGTTTGTCTTCCTGTTTCTGTTTTTCCAGGAGCTGGTTGCCTTGGGACTCAGTAACACTGTCGGTGGCTTTTTCCAGTGTTACTCTGTGACTTCGTCCTTGTCTCGGAGTCTTGTCCAGGAGAGCACAGGGGGAAAGACACAAGTAAAAACACAGCACATATATAGTCCTGTGTAGTTTTCAGTTTTCAGGCACTAAAAATAAAGTAAGGAAGCTTTAAAAAAAAAATGTTACAGACAGTTCAACAAAGCGTAGAGAAAAGCCCAAGTTAAATAAATACACAACGGTTTAAATGTATATTTGCACACGTATACGTGGCAGGTAAGGAAGTTCAGTTCCTCTGTGGATTTAGGGACTGATCAGATGATGTCCGCATGGTATACCTCTAAGTTGTCTAAAACTTTTGCACAGTAGGGTTCCTGATTACATATGACTCTCTAGTTACTGTTAAGATTATTTATTGTACAATAAGTGAGTGTTTTCTCTGTGTGTGTGTGTCTGTGTTTCATCAGGTTGCAGGGGTAATTTCTTCTATCATTGTGCTGATCACAGTTTTGAAAATAGGTTCTCTCTTTGAAGATCTCCCCAAGGTACCACTCTCCTTCCTGTGCCGTTTCTCACTAGCGATCGGTATCTCTCGTGGCAATATTATAACCAATCCGACTGTGGGAATGTGGGAATTCATTTGTCTCTGTGCGTGTTTGCTCCTCAGGCCGTCTTATCCACAATAGTGTTTGTGAATTTGAAAGGAATGTTTAAGCAGTTCCTGGACGTGCCTATGCTGTGGAAGACCAACAAGGTTGATTTGGTAAGACTTAATCCGCTTTAACAGTCATTCAGCTCAGTTGAATCCTGCAGGCACATTACTGAACTGTTGACCCCGTTGACTGTCAGTGTTTTTTACCGCCCTCTAGCTGGTGTGGCTGGTAACATTCATAAGCACCATCCTGCTAAACCTGGACCTGGGCCTGGCTGTTTCCATTGGCTTTTCCATGCTTACCGTCATCTTCAGAACACAACTGTAACTACACAACTCTAATTATTAAATACGGATGTACATGCAAAACATTTAACAAGATTTTTACAGAGCTGAAGGCAGTTCTTGCTGCAATAATAACATTTTAATTCCTTTCAGACCTCACTACTCTATCTTGGGCAACGTGCCAGGCACTGACTTGTATCTGGACACAGAGACGTACAAGGAGGTAAGAATATTGCTCAATATTGTATTGATTCGAAGAAAGTTTAAATTTAGCTCAACCCAAATCGTGAAAAAAGACATGTTTTCTCATTCATCATGTGCAGTAGTTAGCCAAGTAGAGAGCTGTCAAAGTAGTGAGCCATCTTCATTCAGGGATGTCGACGGAAAAGTCAGATATCTCAATAACTGGTCAGACAAAAGTAGAACTACCTTTACTAGATACTAAGGGTATATGAGATTTTTTTCCTTTTTTCTGCTATTGGGTTCAACTGACCCTTTTAGAGGAGCACTCTGGATAGCGTTACATCCACTTTCAATCATTAAGAGATAGAAGAGCTCAGTTTAGTCAAACAATACCTGGGGGAGTTAGGAAGTGCAAATGAAAGTGGAACAGGGTTTAAGTTTCTAAGGCCTTCTACTGTCTGATTTGTCCCTGCAGGCTAAAGAGATTCCAGGAATTAAAATCTTCCGTTCATCTTCAACTATCTACTACACAAATGCTGAGATGTACTTGGAGGTCCTGCAAGAGAAGGTGTGTGTGTATGAGTACACATGAACGTGGGTGTATGTGTGTGTGTGTGTACAGGCCGGTGGTGCCTTTGATTATGAGATGCGATCCCTGTCCGCCGTCTACGGCACCCATAATTGCTTTCATTATCTCTCCCACTTGTCTCACTTTCTCTTCTCTCTCTTTAATGTGATGCTCGGCTTTTTGTGCAGAGTGGAATTGAAATTGGGAAGCTGCTAACAGCGAAGAAGAAACAGCTCGCAAAGCAGAAGCGTCAACAAGAGAAAGAGAAAAAGAAAGCCAAAAAGGAGGAAAGGAAACAAGTACGGTATCCTAAATGGCATATTTAGACAGAGTTGAATTCTTCTGTAATAATACCAATCAGTTATGGATTTCAGTTGGTATGTTTTGAAATAGTTGTCTTCACTTTCTCAACTTTTTTTGGCAGAAAAAAGCCATCAAGCACTCATCCAATGGCACATTCGCTTTGAAGGAGACAGAGATGAACAAGAGGAAAGTCCCTGAAGAAAGAAACGGGCAGAGTCAAGGCAATGGTGTAGTCTTAAGTGTGACAGAAACAACCGCAAATGGCTTTAGTAAAGGCCAAGTAAACTGGGCTTACCAACCTGACACAACCATGTCAGACTCAGACTCAGACACAGGTTGCCATGGCGATGACAGCATCACCCAGGTTTCGCACCACAGTGACGAGGATAAAGGAAGGGCCTGCAGATCAGACACACACAGCATCATCTTGGACATTTCCACGACCAGCTTTGTGGATACAGTCTCTGTGAAGACACTAAAAAGTGTACGTATGAGCCAGGATCTGTCCATGATGAAGTTATTAAATTAGTCACCAGACATCAAATAATAGATTAAATAAATGACCATTTACAATTTTCTACAAAGAAGAATAGATGACAAAAACAAACACAACATGATTTTTGTCTTCTCTTCTAGATTTTCAAGGACTTTGGACAGGTTGATTTGGAAATCTACCTTGCTGGCTGCCAAGGTGAGAGCTGCACCAGATCAAACCAAGACAGAGTTAATGTCATCAATGCAGAGAGAAGGCACTTAAGTTTTTGATAATGCATTAAGATCTCAGCGTCAGTGGTGCCACAAAATATCTTGTCAGACACGTCAGTCAGAGATAAATGTTTATTCCTATAATCACAAATGCTTTCCCGCTTCTGCATTAATGATCTTTCGCCGTCTTACCTTAGCCTGTGTCGTGGAACAGCTGGAAACGGCAGGTTTCTTCTCGGACTCCATCCCAAAGAGCAGGCTGTTTGTCACAGTTCATGATGCAGTGCTTCATATTCTCAAGAAACTGGGGCAGAAAGACTTTGTTCTTGTGAGTCAGGCTTACATGAATGGTTACTCATTACACTCTTGAGATTTCGCATCTTTACTTATCACTCATTATTGATGTGACATATTCAGAAATTTTCATTCCCTCAGTACTGAATCTTTCAAAAACATTTTCAGGATGTCTCCTGCAACACCCAGATGTGACCAGCAGGTGTCAGATTGTTCCAACTCCAGCCATCTTCCTCCTCCTCCTCTTCTTAGGCTGCCTGTTCCGTTGCTCACTATTGGTCACCAGTGTCTCCTCCCCTTTCAGTGGGGGAGAATGCACCACCTTGACATGGCGGACGGTTGCCATGGAAATACAGGGAGCCGTTGCTGTGGCAACAGGCTTTTTATGATATTGTCTAATGAGATAGCCAGCAATACGTCATTGCAGCTCTCTCGCTGTGTGGTGTGTGTTAGAGACAGCGAAGGGGTGGGGGCTGAGTGGGAGAATGTAACACTGGACTAATAGGAGTCTGTATTTATAGCCTGTGTGAGAGAGTGGAGAGTGAGTGAAAGGTTGACTGTAAGGGGAAACTCATATGCAAGAGGTGTTTGTTGTGAATACACAGGCTGCAATGTGTGTGCATGTGTCGGTCTGTCTATGTTCCTCAAGAAGACTAAAGCCAGGTGTCGCCAATGAATCAATAAAATGTAAATATTCTTCACCGATATTGACGTGCCATTCCCGTCTGGAGGGGTTCTTAATTCTAATTGTGCCCCTCATTGCTCCAATGGCCAACAATAATGAGCTGAGTGACAGATATAGTATAATACGTGTTACATTTTAAAAGAGGAGCTTGAAAAAAAAGTGTGTGTATTTATAGTTTGTATTCACATGTCTGATTCCGCTGACATCTTGAGCTCCATTCTATTTATAGGATCCAGTGTCATCTGCTGTTGCAACTATAGAGAAGTTAAACACTGTGTAGTAATACGTGAAGATTCCTATGGATTCAACTGGATAACCCACCCAAAGATAAATGCTCCCAGACATTTTTTTTTTTTTTAACCTTGTGATTATTTTTTTTTACTTGTAAAAAATGTACTGTATGCTGGAAATGTATGTAAAAGCGCAGGGGGCTTAGAAGGTCTTCACGATCTGAGAGGTGCATTTATGCCTATAGTTTGTAAAAATGAGTTTCCTAATCAGACACCAGCTCATGAGTGCAGCGGGACTTTCCTTCACAGGGGCCAACCACCACAAAGAAATGATAAACCCTGCAGAATGTCGCGGATCTTTAAATTATTTGTTTGCTGGATCGACCACTGCAGCTTAAACCAACGGCAAGTGTTCTGAATGGTAGAACACCTATTTCTTGTCTCAAGAGCATGTTGCTCACTGTTCATTTACAGAATCTTTAAAACTTGTCTGACACGTTTAACCGTCAAATGTGTCTTGAAATGTATTTTTTATACAGGTGTCAAGGTGTAACATATTTAATGTGAATGAACCTGAATATTCTCTGTACATATCCACTGCATTTCGTTTATGATTGAGAAATGAATGCGACGGTGTAAATAAAGACCCATAAAAACACATTACATCCCTCTTTATCTGGTCATTTATTGCTTCTCTCCTGACCGCATCAAGTTTCTTTCCCCTCCCCACAACCCAATCTCCTGCTCATTACACAGTTCAGTCGGAAGTTTCTCTCCTTCTCTTAGTGTGGACATAATGATCATCATCCCCTTCAAATAGTAACACTGATTCACAGACCCTACGATACACTGAATACTTAAGTTAGTTTATAATACACAGCTGGAAGTGGTGATGTATTGTCTCTTTGTGATTTTTTTTTTTTTTTTTTACAAATGGAAGTTGTTTTTTTTTGTACAGTTAATTCAGAGAGCACAGATGGCAGGTAACAATGGCTGAAGGCTTTGCCACATGTAAATGAAGACAATGCTGCCAAAGTTCAGCACGCACTCCCTCTTACAGACTTCTGCACACGCCCACACACGTACAGCTACCTGCGCACAGGCATATGTGCGTCTACACACATACACGCTCAGACCAATGCATTGCAGCAGCAGATATAAGGTCTTTCATTTAAAAAGGTTCACCAGAATCTTTTAAGTTTCTGCTCATTCAGAACAAAACGACATAATGGCTTGGGACAGATGAAGCTGTTGAAATCCTGACAGAAAGGTGTGGAAAGGGAAGATATTGCAACTACACCAGACACATCACACTCACAGGACGAGACAGGACAGGACAGCACAAAGGCAGGGGGCAGAAAGAGAGGGGAGAGCGAGCGAGGTAGAGTGAGAAAACAGAGCAGAGGGTATATCAGCCTGTGATGACCGTATGGGTGCACGTGTGTTTCAGTTCTTCTCCAATCTAATCTTTGGTCCATTTGTCCAGGGCTTTTTCATAGCTTTAAAACTGTGGGCTGTGTAACTAATCTGCGTTTAACTATCACCAGGTCAGTGTAGTGTGCAAGTGTTTAGTGTACGTGTGTGCTGATGTCAAAGGTTACATGGCTCTGTGTTCTGCAGAGCTCAGCTGATCAGATGACACTCTCAAAGAGAAGCGTGCTCTTGGTTCCTACAGGGGGCAGTAGTTTGGCCTCACTCTCCGGGGCCAGGTACTCCAGGTGATGTCTGCCCCAAACTGGGGTGGTCAGATGCTGCCACCGCTGCAGAAACAAACACAAGGACATGGTGAACTCTTTGTTAGACGAATGCTTCAACTTTCTAAGCAATGATGAGATCACTTAAACAAATAATGGCTAGAAGAGGGAGTGGAGATACATTCCTACAGATTTATCACCAATTATGAACATGCTCAAGGGAACCGATATGAACGCCCATGCTTGCAAACAGAAATACTGACCTCCCGCAATGACCCTTTGCAGCGCAGTAGTTTGTAGAGAACAGTGACTGGTATACAGAGCATAGAGGACAGGGCCAGCGCCCAGCCAAGTGCTTCACCCCATATGGGGTATGTGTATACTGTGTTGTAAGTCAGGGGCTTGTAGTTCACCACGTGGAACAGGAACACTCCCTATATGCACAAAAAAACATCAGCATTTTGCAACTAGTAGGGAAAAGTGACATGAAAAAAACAGAGCTACACATACCACACAGACAAAAGGTGTGATGTAAGACCAGCACCACTTCATGTAGGGTAGGGGCTGATAGCCAATCATTCGCGCCACATCGTCCATGAAACGGTCTGCGCCTGATAGGGGTGACATAAGGATGATGTGACAATGCACTGAATCGAGCAATTTGTATAGTTTGTACTGTAATTGTTTGTCTCACCATAGACCCATGCAATCACCACACACTCCCAGAAGGCCTGCCATAACAGAGTGATGCCACTGGCAGAGTAGTAGTCAAACAGCTGGAAGACATACATCCCTCCCTGACAGAAAGAGAGAGAGCATCGGAGCCATCCTGTCAATACTTAATGTGTGGCCTGTTTACAGCCTTGTCTCTACTGTTTAAGCTTTCATCCCAGATCATGTCTGGCTGTGGTTTATTGTTCCAATCACAGCATTAGGTATCAAATCAAGTATCTTAAAGAAACATTCAAATCTATTTTTTTTGCGTATAGACGGCCTACAAGGTTGCTGTGTTATGGTACAAAAATAAATGTTGTCCACCTAATTGCGAACAATGCATCCAAATGACGTCTAAAAATTCCCACCGTACCTCAGTGACCATGGACATGTCAATAAGGAAGCAGATGACGCAGCAGATGGCAGCTACCACCTCTCGCCGCAGGGAGCCCAGGACAGATTTAGGGGGTAGCATGTCCATGATTCCTGTTATCAAACCTTCTACTCCTACGAACTGAAAAAGAGAGAAAACAGAACAAGGGAAAAGGTAAGAGGCAAGGGAGCACAAAGGTGAGAGAACTCTGAAACATGCTTCTGACTCGGACCATTAATGGCTGTTGTTACAAATAATACTGCGCTCACTAGATGATGAGGGCGTTGGATATATCAAGGCAAACAGCACAGAAAATGACAATGGGGAAATGAAAATAAAGGTGTAAAATTTTACATTGGGTTAGTTGTTTGTTTCTGTACAAGACTGTCTACTGGATCAGCCCCACAAGTCCTCAACAACCTTCCCTTTGAAACAACCATCACATGTTAGACATACCGACTTGCACATGTGCCTGACATGTAATTGAGATTTTCCAGGTGAGCATGTTGGCCCAAACCCATCCTCTGCCTTCCTATGCAGGAATGTATGGTATCTTTATATTTTGGCCGATGGAATGAGCTGAGAGAATGACAGCTGTGTGGCTATTTTTACATCATTTCACAGAAATGGCAGCACATTTATAGGCAATGTGGCTATGGCAGCAAAAACAACAAAAAACAAAAAGAGATGGATAGAGAAGAAATGCGGGAGAGAATGGAAAGCGAGAGTAAATGAATGGATTGGAGAGTAGACAGGCGCTCTCTGTGTGAATCAGACAGAAGCTCATTGACAAATCTCTGGGCTGTAAAACAATGGATGTAGGCACTGGCTCAAACAGACACACAACAAACAGGCTGCTGAGAAATGTAATGCTAAAACTGGACGTGACGTGTTTAGTCTGTTTGTGTCACCCTTGTGTGACAGCGAGTGAGGCAGAAAAAGGAATGTGGATTAACGATATATTCCACAAAAAATATGAATGCGCTACAGAATCAAAATGACATGAAAATATAGCAGTAAGTTATATTTATTATTAGCATATATTCCCTTGAAGCAAAATTCTTTCTCCAGTGTTGGTATAGTGGACATAATAAAGTGAACTCAAATGTGGCTACTATCAGGTGATTACCTGACTGTCCAGGCCCAGTATGAGCAACATAAAGAAGAAAAGTGCTGCCCAGAGCGGCGCCAGAGGCATCAGAGTCACAGCCTTGGGGTAGGCTATGAAAGCCAGGCCTGGACCTGCACATTGAGAGATAGAGTCAGAAATATCGAGCTCGCATGGCTCTTAGTGTCAATAACTCGCTCATTTTTGTTTGGTTGCCAAGTTGATGTGGCGTTGTATTCTTACCACTCTCAGCTACCTTACTGATGTCCACTCCTTGCTCTGCAGCCATGAAACCCAGCACAGAGAACACCACAAAGCCTGCAAAGAAGCTGGTGCCACTGTTAATGAGGGCCAGCACAAATGCATCCCTACAGAGAAATACAGAGACAGGCAGAGGAATTGAGAAAGAGGGGGGGAGCAGAGCACAGAAAAAGACACTGTGAGAAAAAAGCATTCTAATATGATGTAACATGAGGCTCAAGTAACATACTCAAGACAAACATTGGGTTGGAGAAGATGGCCTGGGATGGTAAATAGAGGATCAATAGCAATTTCTCTGAAAGCTGCAGTTGTCTTTATAGTTGGCAGGTAGAGCACAGGGAACACATAAGCCAACAGGAAGTCTGTCTCAAGGTCTGAGAGGAGAGAGGATAAAAGAAAAACTTTCCTTGGCTACTCGTTACACATACACAGTATACACTGTACGTGACATTGTAATAATAAATAAATCAGTGATGTTGAAAGACTGAATTCTCATTTAAGTACAAAGTCAAAAGCATCCCTAATATCTGTCTGTACAGTGAGGACTACGCAGACAGGAATTTCTGTTTATCTTGACGAGCCTTGCTGGCAACACAAACCAAGAATCCTGGCTGATATGAAGAATGTATAAACAACAGTTGCATCAGGATGGTTTTTATAACACTGCTACACAGCTGCATTCACCAGCAACCTCCACGCAGTCAACTGTCAACATTCTCCTGTCACTCTGAGGCAGTACTCAGGCGATTGCGTACGGATGTAGATAGTCAAAACAAGGGAGAAAGAGTGATTGTGGTGAGAAAGCTGCCCATTACGAGGCCACAGTCATTAAAGAAGTCTACGGTCATATTAGCAGCCCTTCCGGGCCATGATGCTCATCACATGCCAGGAAACAAAGCTGTCCTCTACTGAATTAACAAAAAAAGTCAACTAAACATACCTGATTCCAGCAAGCTTAATCATCGCCTGTTGTGAATTTTCGAGCTGCTGCTGTCTATCTAAAACTACCTCTGATTTCCAAAACTTTAACAAGGTGCTTAAGCATCATGAATAAAGATGATCCAAACGCAAAAATGAGCTCACACTAGAAAACTTTATGTGTTTCAAAAGGAAATAAAAAATGAAATAGTCAAGCTAAATTTTTCATTCAAAAGCACAGAAGTAATTACCCGGACAAACAATGAGGAAGAGATGGGTCATTGGGTGGGTATATTTACAGCTCATTCACTTTTCTGTCTGGCTGCTGATTAGACGGCTGAATGGTTGCTGCCCTCGCCCCCTGAACACACTCAGGACAGGGTGATGCTGGACTTATGATCTGTCTGAATTATGTCAGACGATCGGATAGCTTCCAAAACCTCCTTCTTCCACACCTCTCAGGGGGAGTGACTGTAACACCCATCGCTGGTAAGTTTCCGAGACCAAAAATCTGACATCCCGTGTACTTAGTGAGTGACTGGTGTGGAGGTAAGAAAACGAAGTGGATGCTAACTTCTTTTGCGTATTCAAA